TGTTGCGGAAATGGTACATCTAATGATGAATCTTCTGTTTTGGAACAAAGCCTAGCAAAGGATTCTCAAGAGGACAAAGACGATACTGAGAACCCTCCTACCAATGATTGCTGTTCCGATGATTGTTGTTCAGCTGGGCGCGAAGAGGCCCTTGCTGCGAACAACATCTCGATCACGCCGGTAGCCAAGCCCGAGGCTCGGGGGTGCTCAGAGTCCTGCTTCGAAGGAAAAGACAACAAGACTGTGAAGAAATCAGTCAAGTCTGACTATGTCCGTTCTTGTTGCAAGCCGGAAGATAAGACCCCAGCAAGGTCATCTGGCGACAAATGTGCTGGATCCTGTTGCAAGAAGCCCCAGTCCTTTCGAAACTCGGATGGTGGATGCTGTACATCTGTTGCCGTTGAGAAACTCCCAGGGAATGAAACGGTCTCTATCAACAGGCCTGTAGACATAGAGAATCAGACCACGGGAAAAGAACGTATGGTCCTGAGTATCTCTGGCATGACATGTACTGGCTGTGAAACGAAGCTCAACCGAACACTTGCGACAGTTCCTGCTGTCAACGACTTGAAGACAAGTCTTGTTCTCTCACGTGCAGAATTCAACATCGATTTGCGTCTCGTATCAGTCGATGAAGTTATCAAACATATCGAACGAACCACCGAGTTCAAATGTGAGAGGATCCAGACTCAAGGTTCCAGCTTGGATCTCATTGTCGATGGCAGCACCTCTGAGTTTATTGGACAGGCATGGCCCAAGGGTGTTGACGATATGACTGTTCTTGACAAGAATACTGTTCGAGTGTCCTTTGACCCTAAGATCGTTGGGGCTCGAGATCTGGCGGAAAGGTCATGGAGCCCTCCTGTTAAACTTGCTCCTCCTGCTGGGGACTCGTCTCTTGAGGCTGGTAGCAAGCATGTTCGCTATGTTGGGTATACGACTCTACTCTCCGCTGTTCTCACGGTCCCTGTACTCGTCATGGCATGGGCGCCACTTCCTGAGAATGAGACTGCCTACTCCTCGGCCTCGCTGGCTCTGGCTACGATTGTCCAAGTTGTCATCGCAGGGCCATTCTATCCTAAGGCCATCAAAGCACTGGTCTTCTCCAGAGTCATAGAGATGGATTTGTTGATTGTTCTGAGCACTAGCGCAGCATATATCTTCTCAGTCGTTTCTTTCGGATATCTGATCGGTGGAAAGCCTCTCTCGACTGGACAATTCTTCGAGACCTCGACCTTGCTGGTGACTTTGATCATGGTTGGTCGATGGGTTGCGGCACTTGCTCGTCAGAAGTCAGTCGAATCTATCTCTATTCGGTCGCTTCAGGTATCAGCTGCCACTCTTGTCGATGAGAAGAGTGGTGTTGAGCAAGAGATTGATACTAGACTTCTCCAGTATGGTGATGTGTTCAAAGTTCTTCCTGATACAAGAATTCCTACTGATGGAACTGTCATCACTGGCTCATCCGAGGTCGACGAATCGATGTTGACAGGCGAGTCCAGGCCCGTGGAGAAGTATCACAAGTCTGGCGTCATCGCAGGATCTATTAATGGTTCAGGTGTCTTGACTGTGCGTCTTAACCGCTTGCCCAGTGAAAACACTATCAATGCGATCGCCGCCATGGTTGATGAGGCTAAGCTGTCAAAGCCTAAGCTGCAGGATCTAGCGGATCGAGTGGCCTCCTACTTTGTCCCTGTAGTAGTTACTTTAACCATGATCACTTTCGCGGTTTGGGTTGCCGTCGGCCTCAGAGTTCGGGGTTACGGTGGTTCCAAGGCCACAACTGAGGCAATCACATACGCCATCGCTGTTCTCATCGTATCATGTCCTTGTGCTATCGGATTGGCGGTCCCCATGGTCATCGTGATTATGAGTGGAGTTGCCGCAGAGAAAGGCATAATCTTCAAGTCCGCGGATGCTATCGAAGTTGCTCATAAGACATCTCATGTTGTCTTTGACAAAACTGGTACTTTGACACGGGGAAAACTCTCTGTCGTTTCGAAAGAGTGTATCGACGAAGCTTCTCTTCCGCTTCTTTTAGGCCTTATCGAGAACAGCCGCCATCCAGTTTCGGTGGCTGTGGCGACTCATCTTAAGGGTATGGGAATTGGATCCCATTCCACAGGTGAGCTGAAGAGCCTGACTGGCAAAGGCCTCGAGGTTGTCGCAAATGGCCAGAGGCTAAGAGCCGGAAACTCTCGTTGGTTGGGTATCTCAGAGCATCCCATCGTTTATACGATGCTTGCTCAAGGCTATACTGTCTTTTGCTTCATGGTAAACGATGAGCTGCACTCCGTATATGGCCTCCAAGACGAACTCCGAGACGACGCCCTAGGTACTGTTGAGACTTTGCACAGACGGGGTATTTCAGTTCATGTGGTTTCCGGTGACGATGATGAAGCTGTTCAGAGCTTAGCAGCAAAGCTGAACATCCCTAGAACCAACGTAAGCTCCCGAACGTCACCCACCGGCAAGAAGGAGTACATCCAAGCTCTTCTTGGCACTGACACAGATCGCAAGAAGCCAGTGGTTGTTTTCTGTGGTGACGGTACAAACGATGCAGTTGCTCTCGCACAAGCCACGATTGGCGTCCACATGAACGAAGGCACCGATGTTGCACAGTCCGCCGCAGACGTAGTACTCATGCGTCCTTCTCTCAGCGGCATAGTCACCATGATTGATGCCAGCCGAAAGTCTGTGAACCGCATCAAGTTCAACTTCTGCTGGAGTTTTGTGTACAACACATTTGCTGTTCTCCTTGCAGCCGGCGCGTTTGTCAACGCACGAATTCCACCGGAATATGCTGGCCTTGGAGAGTTGGTGAGCGTTTTGCCTGTCATCTTGGCTGCAGTGCTTCTGCGCTGGTCGAAGCTCTAGGTGGGAGATCCTGACTCTCCCAGTAACTCCAGTCAGCGCTGCCACTGGGCACTCTCATTGGCATCCTACCAGGAGGCTGACAGCTGTTTTCTTACTCTATATCGTCTCTTATTTTGGTTAGGCAGAATTCTGCTCTTCTGTCGCTACCGTGGCTTTGCTTTGAAATTCGCACAAGAAAAGCGTCTCTTGACGTCTACAAAAACCACTATCTTTCTCTCGAAGCTCTATAGCGAGCTATCTTTCGACCATCGTGGCTACTTGAACAAGGTGTTTCGTACGGCACTAGGCCTGCAGGGAGAATGCATGACTCCGCCCAGTGATTGTGCGATCTTGTTCAAACTATTGCCCTCCTTTAACCAGTACCTATTACTGAGTGATTCTATAACCAACAAGTTCCCCTATGTATACGTGATTGATCAACTATCTTGAAATACCACCACCATACCCCCATATTGGACAATATTGACATTAAGAGTCCAATCCAGTCATCACAGCCGGAGGGCTAACCCGTTCCTGTACGCCATAATGAGTGAAAGGCTAATCGTTCTGAATCAAGAGCTTAATAAGGCTGCCCAAGGCAGTTCCACCAACCACACCCAGCAGAATACGATGGGTATAAGAGCGAGCACAATCCACCAGACCTCAATGGTCAGCTTGATTTGCATCCATCGAGGAAGAGTTCTGCTCAATAATGAGCGATGGGAACATCTCCTTGTTCCGTAGACGAGACATCCGAGGCCTGGTCGAGATTCGCATTCGACGTGTTCTCGTCTTCGACGCATCAATAGCCTGGCGTAGTTAGTGGCATGAAGATTGACAAGACGTTGGGTAACATACGGTACACTTCCACGACAGAAGCGTAGATCGCTCCCAAGATCACAGCGTCGATCATTGGGGCATTCCAGATGGAGACTCCTTCGTTCAACTAGCCATTCAACCTTGAGATTAATGCCAGTATCGACAAGGCTGTAAAAATGGGCATTGGTGTGTTTTAAGGAAAGAGCGTCTGGGTATATGAGAAACTTGGAGATAGCTAGGTGTATTTCCGTTGGTAACGACATGAGCTCCAGTTTGGGAGTTGTCCTGGTTGATTCCCCAGTGTCTTTACCGGCTTCGGGCCCGGTAGTGGGGCGACGTTTTCGGAGGCTGGACATGTCGGAGCGGAGTGGAATGGAGTGGGGCGGAAAGGGAAGGAACGATTTGAGTTTCGGAAAGAACGAACGAGTCAGGTGGATGTCAGAAGAATTGTCCTCTAAGACTTAGGCTACAGAAATAAAGTAGCCTAAGTGCCGGTCTAAACTGACCTAAAAAATGAGGAAGTTATTTCGTCTCTTATGCTCCCCGGGGTCAATTCATCTGACACTCAGAGGCGAGTGTATGCAACTTGACGTTCTTCGTTCCTTTTGGGAAAGTGCGAAAGCTTTGTATCCCGCTGCTGCCTTGTACGATGTTCAGGACTTGGAAGCCTAGAGCTGATAGTGGACAAGCCAGGGGCTCAAGCCACTCGGGATAGGGCAGTGCAAGAGTCCTGGGTCGTTTAGCGGGTTTCAAAGGGAGTTCAGCTGGTGAAGGACTTTGAGGTTAGAGTCAGCAGTAAAAGCTGAGGATTCTCAGCTGAGTTTTAGTATTCTGTATGGCAAGGCGAGGCAGTGATAATATATTTATTTGTGCTATTCAGCTATTAAGACCGGATTCGGGTATTGTTGCTTGCAGCAGAGACATTAAGATGAATGAGATCCATTGTACAGAGTACTCGGCATCCAATTGCAGGGTTTCAGATACCGAGTCTCTGGGAGCATTTACATTTACCAATATTCAAGAACAACAGTTGTCCTAAAACCATCTCTGATTCAGCCATCGCATTAGCACTAGTATCTTTTTACATTTCACATCCATGGCTTACATGTAGGCAGGTAAAAAGCAGTTGCCTATTTTTAGGCAGTTGTTCCTCAAATGCCCCACGTGATCCCGTGTTCCCCATTTCGCGTTTCCCCTCTAAAATCAAGACGCCAAAACTCATCCTCGTCATTTAACGCCTCGCTCGGGCTACTAAATAAGCTACGAGTGCTAATTATTTTCTTCGCCACATTCTTCCCCTCGAGGAAGAATAATGATTCATCGCCATGGCGAGCACGGCTGCGATGACGTTAGATAGCGATAACGAGTTTGGCTACGATTTCGATGCCGAGGAGGAAGAGTTACTATTTCAGCTGGCTTCTGAAAACGAACACACTCCTCAAAATAATGCGAGATTAGCAGCTATAGACGCTGTGCCCGAGAGAACCGAACGTGTGCTTGACCAAGATGACCTCTCAACGGTTGACGCTTCAGAGTATACCCTGGGCCGCACTGAAACAGGACAGTCGAGCGATCTTTACAGAGGGCAGGCGTTTAATCAACGTGAATTGTCGTCTGGTCCGCAAACGCCACCCGTTGCAACCTCAAACGAGGACGTTTATTACCCCGATCGTACGTGATGACTTCTTCGTTGGGCTTCAGCGCACTAACTGACCCAAGAAATTAGTGAGCAAAGCTTTAACAAATTTGAAGCCCAAATCACCATTGTCAGAGTCAACAATTACTGCGGGGAGAACATCTGAATCGAACCAAGATGAGCCGTATGACGATGACCGCTCACCCATCCAGCGGTTCAGGTCATATCCTAAGAGACCACTGACCGTGACCGATCTCACTTCTGGTGCTTGGTGTGAGTTGCAGTACTGGTATACTCTCACTCGACTACCTGGAGGCCGAAGAACGAGAACAGCTGCTATGAAGAAAGGCTCCAAGATTCACAAGAAACTCGAAGATGAAGTTCACACTACTGTCAAAATCGATATTATGACCAAAGAGGACGCATTTGGTCTCCGGCTATGGAACCTAGTCCAAGGACTGAGGACCTTGCGCGATACAGGACTCACTCGCGAGCTCGAGGTGTGGGGAATGGTCGATGAGAATCTCGTCAATGGAGTCATTGATAGCGTGAACTATGAAAATCCAAACCCTGAGTTCGAGGCAGAGCTTTCTAGTCAAGAGTCTGAGACAAGCAAGAGACAGTCATCCTTGACCGATTACTTCCCACCGAAAAAGGGTGCTGCGAACCATTCAGGGCCAAAGATATATCTCGCCGATGTCAAGACCCGCGGATCTGCTTCTCCAGTTTCAAACGCTCAGATACGACCTGCAAAGATTCAACTGCTCCTATACCATCACTTTTTATCGGAGATGGCCGCAGGTAAACTTGATTTCCTCAAGGTCTTCCGACGATACGGACTTGACGCAGATGATGCTTTCTCGGACACCTTTATCGCACAAGTTGGAAGTTTACATGACGAGATATTTGTGGATGCATCAGAAACGGAGACTGAGTTCACACAAGAGAACCCTTCTTCCAGCTTCCGAAGCTCTTCCTCAGTCGGCCCCGATTTTCTGCAGTATCGAACATTGCGAGAGCTCATCCCTCTTGTCCAGGAAGAGATCGACCTTACTTTCCCCTACGGCGAACACTCCATGGGACATATGCTTCGGGTGCAATACGTTCACCGTGACGACGGTCGCGAAATCGACCTGCATGACTTTCCTGTTTCAAAACAGGCATTGGAGACATATCTTTCCAACTACATGGAGTGGTGGAAAGGTAGGCGTGAGGCCAAAGGCGTTGATATAGAAGAGGCCTTCAAGTGCAGAACATGCGAGTTCGTCGACGACTGTTCTTGGCGGCAGAGCATGGATGAAGAGATGTTGCAGAGGGCCCGGAATTCACAAAAGAAACGTGCGACACGCCGAGCGAGCAACAATGCCACCTGAGAAGATGGATTCCTGGATATATGATGAATTACGACGCATTAGGATATATCTCATGAGACTTGTATGGATTGTTTAGGTTATAGATTTTTAACATTCTGATTTGTTTGTTCGGTCGAAACCAAGGGCATTACAATAACCTCGGCGGTAGTAGACCTGCTCCCTCTCAGTGCTTGCTTGGTCTATGAGTACGAGTGATGCCGAAGCCCCAGCCATCTAAAATCATCAGTAAGCCCACTCAACAATCGGATTTTGAAAACTTACATTGAGCAGCAACATGGATGTCGATGTCCAGTTCATCAGCCCAGTGCCACACCAAGTTGGGGTCCTTGAGGAAGCCCCGTCCAACAAACACTGCATCGACAGAACCCTCATCCAGATAGCCTTGAGCTTGCTTTCCAGAAGTAATCATTCCTACAGAAGCCACGACGGTGCCAGTGCCCTTAACAGCTTTCTTCACAGCAGCAGCCCAAGGAACTTGATATCCAGGGCCGGAGTTGATCTTCTGACGGCTATCCAGACCACCACCAGTGACATCGAGCAGATCTATCCCTTCATCTGCAAGGATCTTGCCAAGCTTTGCTGCTTCGTCAATGTGCCACTGGGGCAACGATGGGTCAAAGTCAAGGTAGTCTGTGCCAGGCATACGGGCAAGAAGAGGATAGTCTGATGGGACGATTTCGCGAGTTAGCTGGACAATCTCAACAAGAAGACGGATCCGGTTCTCGAAGGATCCGCCGTATTCATCAGCTCGTTGGTTAGAGGCTGGGGAAAGGAAGTTGTTGATCAGATAACCATGAGCGCCATGGATTTCGATGGCCTAAGAGGTTAATTCATGATAGTCAAAGGACTAGCGAACTGGTGCACTTACGTCAAAGCCGACTTTGAGGACACGCTTTACGGCGGCGGCCCAGTCCTGCTTGAACTTGGAGATATCATCCTTGTTCATCTCTTTGGGCACGACAGACTCTGGACTGTAAGGAAGTGCACTTGGTGCAACCACCTCATCAGGCCACCCATTGGCCTACTAGTGTCAGTAACACATTCATGCAAAAGTCGCATGTGCACCTTACCTCTTCAAAGGCCGTGTTCTTGCGATCCAGCCACGGCACGACTGTACTCGCCTTTCTGCCAGCATGGCCCATCTGAATCGCAATCTTGGCCCCCTGACTATGAACAAAGTCCACAATTTCCTTGAGAGGTTCCATCTGTCCATCTTCGTAGATACCTGCATCTTCAGGACTGATTCGTCCCTCTGGCGAGACGGCGTTGACTTCTGTAAGAATAAGACCGGGTCCTCTTGCCGCGAAGCTGCCCAGGTGCTGTTTGTGCCAGGGGGTCATGTGTCCGTTCTTTGCTGAATACTGGCACATTGGAGAGACGAGGATGCGGTTTTGAAGAGTCAGACGTCTGAGTTTGAGGGGTGAGAATAGGCTTCCTTCAGGTTGGACATCGTATGGTGTTCCTGCTGGCGGATCTTGTACCGGAGTGTAGAAAGGCACCTATGAAGTGATGAGTGTTTGCAATTGTATTGTCTGGGTGATGTTTGGGACGAACATTTGGGGCAGCTTCATTGATGATGATCTTGTGATGACCATCGCACTTGGGAAGAGTCTCTGCCATGTTGTCGTGTTTGGATTGATGGATAGGTAGGTCAAGCAGGTTCGATATCGATCGATGTGATGAGTGTAGGAGAGACAAGCAAGTGTATTAATACCTACTGCCAAGGCACCTTACTCCTCAAGAAGGAAGCTTGCCTTAGGTACCTACCTGTGTCCTGCACTTCAGTCTGTATATGGCATGCACCTTCCTCATAGCACCTTCCCGTCCAAACGACCTGCCGTGCCACCGTAAGCCCAAGCATGTAACGCTTGAAATGTGACGGCATGAGCACCAACAGAGTTCATTTTGCAAGGCTATTCTCGCATTCGTGTTATAAATCGTTCGGTATCTCTTGAGAGTGTAAGCACTATTTGCTCGGCTCTTCGGAATCATGCAGACCTGTTGGCTTATGAGTGCGTGTGGCTTGCTTTACAAAGAATGCATCAACCTTTGTCAACATGGGAGATGTCACCATTTCGTTCAACCGAGTTACAACAAACATACCAATTGCTTCACCTAAGTTACTGATGTGCATAAACTGAGTTTTCTTGTTGGTTCCTAGGTGATGATAAATATTAATGAGAATAATCGAGTCGCCGCTTATTTGCATGGCACTTTCAGGGTAGGTAGCTACAACCCGGTATACCTTACATAGTGAAGGCAATGGTTAATTGTGATAGTCCTTGCTTCATTTGAATGAGGCCGATTCTTTCTGTTTTATCAAAACCAACTGAGGTGTCACAGAAATATTGCATATGTCAAAGTGATGTTGATATGAGGGTTTTAAGAGCCCAATGGCACTGAAAATGAGTTGGTGCCATAGAGCTTATGCTTTCCATCGAATCACAGCTGAATCTAACGCATAAAGTTGACGACTTACGCCTATTCAAATGAGGCTTGAATACAGAGAGGATGACTCAGGTTTCAATTAGGCAGAAAAGTTAAAAAGGATTGTTTTCGTGCCACGAATATTGAGCTCCGTTCAAAGATGTACAGTACATTATTTATAGTCTGGGCCCCAAGGCGAGCCAGGTTAGGTAACCAAATCCTAGAACAACTTCCCTTCTTCAACTACCACTCGCACATACTCAGTACACGCCGTCAATTCAACCCACCCTAGCCATGCAGCGAGACAGGGAAGAAGAGTTTGACGAGGAATACGACGTTCCTTTGCATCACAAACGCCCTTTCGGAGCAGGAATTAGACGCAAAGAGATTAAATTCGTGCGGGCTGCCGATCCTGATGCTGGTCTCTCGACTGCGACAACATCAACAGCCACTGATCTCGGAGATTTGTATGCAAGCGTTGTTCTAAATTCCAATCCTGAGAACAAAGAGGCTAAAAAGTCAGAGGAGGAGAAACAAATATGTCCAGATTGCGGACTAGATATTTCATCTACGACACAGCCCCATGAGGCAGCTCTCGCTCATCAAGTCTCACTGCGACACTCACAGCCTCCATCGGCACTTGATCGCTCACGCATGGGCGTACGGACACTCACATCTCAAGGCTGGGATTTGGACGCCCATCAAGGCTTGGGAAGGGAGAATGACGGTATGCGATACCCCATCAAGGTGGCCAACAAGAAGGACAACCTTGGAATCGGGGCAACGATACCGAAGCCCAAAGAAAAGACAAAAGAGCATCTAGCTTACCCTCTCAACAAGAAGGAGCTGAAGAAACATCGCGTCGACCAAAAACGGCGGCATGAGCAACTGCAGCGTGAAATCTTTGGGAGGGTGGATGTGGAAGCTTATCTGAGAGGGAATGGCAACGACGGATGACAACACCATGGCGACCGAAGGGATACCAGCAAAGACGAACTGAACCTGGTCACATACTGAGGGTAGTCTATGCGGACTACTGCCTGGGTCTTTTGTTTTTGAGGTTGTCTATCTAGGACTTGCGCTACATCCAGGACTTGCAGCCACATGGAGCTTGAAGAACACTGCGAAACTTCTTACACGACTCCAATACTGCCATCAGATTTTTTAGCACTTCAGCGAGGATTATACTGAGCTATATTGACACTTAAACACGGAACTGAGGTATAGCTTCCATACTGGACTCGCATCCTGAAGCGAGTGTGTTTCAGCTCAAACAAAGCATAACGCTACAGACCGATATAAAACATACACGGAAACGAAGATCAGAAACAAGATATTCAAAGAATCTGTACATACACTAGACTACTTCAAGAGATCTAAACATACTCGCGACTTGACATCTATCATGACCTCATCGAAGGTGAGGCTTAGAATTAATCACTGCTCAGTGACTGTACCCTGCAGCACACCGCTCCAATTAGAGTTGGACGCGCTGAACATCTACCGCTGTAGCAGCTACTGTATACACAGTGGACAAGATCCGGGCTCCTGGTAGGGCAGCGATAGGACAGACGCTAATTCTGTAGGTACATTGAGGACCCACCTTCTTCATGCGACCCCGCCAACTCCTGAGGTGACTTGGCTTGGACCTTGGACCTTGGACCCAACCTTGAATCTCGTACTTTACTACTGTAGAATACTCTACTCTGCTTCTAACTTAATACAGCTACAGAAACCTACATTTGCTTTGCAACATCCTTCCTTTAACTTTTGATACCCCCGCTCGTCATTCTATCGCTTAAATCTGCAGTCTTGGGCTGGCTCCCCACAACGTTTCCCTACCGCCTTTACTCTCGTGCCGGCTCAGGCTCTGGCTCTATCTCTACTTCGCTCCTTCATACCCAACGACGTGACGTGACGTGACGGGGCAGCCCGCCAATCCTAAGCACCATGGGGCTGTCCGTCATTCAAGAGCAGCATGATGGTATGCTATCCCCTAAACAGAAGACATCCAGGGACATTATACTAATGCGCCTCCTTCAGCCATCCTGGGGCAGATCAAGAAGATCACTCAAGGCGATGTAAGCTATATCCCACCAACTCTTTAAAGCTCAACTGCTAAATGACGTCTCTGTAGTGGAAATGCCTGATTGTCGACGAAAACTCCAAGAAGATCATCGACAATGTCGTCAAGGAAGATGACATCCTCAACAACAATATCGCCAGTTGGTCTCTCTGACGTACCTGAAGCTATTCCCAGTGCTGATCTGCTTCCTACCCAGCCATCGAGCGAATCGAGAACCGTCGCGAGCCGAACCCTGAGATGGACGCAATCTACATTCTCTCCCCCGAATCTTTTGCTGTCGAATGTCTTCTTGCCGATTTTGAGATGCGACGCTACCGTAGCTTTTACCTCGTCTGGACTGGCCTTCTCGACCCCTCATTGCGACGCAAGATTGACGATTTCCCTGGAGCTCGTCAGCTCCGTGCCGGCTTCCAGACTATGTTCGTCGATTTCCTGCCTCGAGAGTCGCATCTTGTGACCCTCCGCGATCCCTGGAGCTTTCCAATGCTCTATCACCCGGCATGTAACGCTATCGTTCCCACCCATATGAAGGGTCTGGCGCAAAAGGTAGGGCATCATTGTGCGCTGGAACCAACTCAAGTATGTTAACTAGATGCTAGATTTCCGGTCTCTGTATTACACTCGGAGAGTATCCTAAAGTCCGATACTACAAGCCACAAGGCGCAAGTCATGACGCAGCCGTCCTATGCTCGCATCTGGCTCGCTTTGTTCAAGAAGAGCTTGATGCGTATGCGCAATGGGACACCAACTTCCCACCACCCTCGCAACGACCGCAGGCTACACTCGTAATTACGGATCGATCCATGGATTTAATGGCACCTCTCGTGCACGAGTTTTCTTACCAGGCGATGGCGCACGATCTTCTTCCGATCAAAGACGGCGACAAAGTCACATACCGTACAGTTGTCAACGAAGGAACCCCGGAGGCAGAAGAGAAGGACATGGAACTTACAGACAAGGACAAAATCTGGGTGGACAATCGACACCGGCACATGAAGGATACGATTGACAAACTTATGGGCGATTTCCAAAAGTTCCTCCAACAAAACCCACACTTCACCAACGAGAACGCCGATACAACCAATCTGAACACAATTAGAGACATGTTGGCTGGCCTGCCGCAGTTCCAGGAGATGAAGGAGGCCTATTCGCTGCATCTAACCATGGCGCAAGAATGCATGAACATTTTCCAGAAGCACAAGCTGATGGATATATCCTCCATTGAGCAAACTCTGGCGTCTGGACTTGACGAGGACTTTAAGAGACCGAAGAACATACTTGAAATGATTGTGCCCCTGTTGGACGACGAGGCTGTATCACTTCCCGATCGATTGCGACTTATTGTTCTGTTTATACTCTACCGAGACGGAGTTATCCCTGAAGATATCAAAAGATTGCTCGCCCATGCTGGCCTTCCTCAATCGGATGCTGAGGTCGTGCAGAACTTCGAACAGCTTGGCGGACGCATGACACACAACCTCAAGGACGTGCGCCAACTTCCCGCGCCTCTGTTCCCAATTGACCCAAAAACCACACAATTGAACGAGGAATACGGATTAGCACGTTTTGAGCCGGCTTTGAAACACATGGTGGACCACCTGGCAAGGGGCCTCCTCGACCAAGTTCACTTCCCCTATGTAAAGCCGCCGCTGGATCCCAATGAGGAGCTTAATATAGCACAGAGCGCTTCTCTTCGTGCCGGCCGACCCAACTGGGCGTCTTCGGGTCGTCGCCCGCCAGAGAACCGACAGCGATTGATCGTGTTCATGGCTGGAGGCGCTACCTACAGTGAGAGTCGGGCATGCTACGAAGTCGGCGAGGCTCGTAGTCGAGATATTGTCCTGGTGACTTCCCATATGCTGACCCCTCAACTTTTTGTTCGACAAGTGGGTGATCTCAGTCGCGATAAGCGCCAGCTTGACTTGCCCTTGGAGCGCCCCAAGCGACACGCACCCCGTCATCTCCTAGAACGCCCGCCTCCCCCTCGTCCAGCGCCATCTCAGCAGCCATCCCAGCAGCAGCAGATGCACCCTGGACCTATGAATCGACCAGGCGGTCTACCTCAGAGACCTTCTCCTGGCATGGCACCTCCAACGGCTGCCATGTCTAACATGTCGATCAACAACCATGGCAGCGCGCCGCCTCGACCGAACCCGCATCAAAGCGTTCCATCTAACCAATCGAACCACGAGGAGCCTGGCAAGCTTCACAAGGAGAAGAAGAAGAGAAACCTTTTCGGTATGAAGAAGTAGGGTTCTTGGAACGGGGGGCTCTCCTCATCTTCTCCGCCTTCCAAGGGGATGCGGCGGTCGCATACCACTGACACGGACAGCTCGTTGGAGATATATAGAAAAGGGTCTCGCAAAACGGAAAGAAGTGCATCTAGCGGGAGTCACTTAGGTGTCGACCCTTCGGCTTGAAGTCGAGCTCCAGCCGACATGCAGCCCAGACACATGGTGTTCTTTTGGGTTTTGCAATCCTTCGACGGAGCATGGCGTTCTTCATTCGGCCTTTGATATATCTTGAAGCTTGCTTGACTGGGGACCTCAAGAACTTGGGAGGTTCATATGTACATAACAATAGCCTGTAGTATATAAACTTTTCGTATTCTTTTTCTCATTGTCTGTATCGACTCTAGTAGCAGATGGCAAGCCCTGTCTAGGTAGTTGTCAGGGTGGGTATCAACATCACCGCCAGTAATACTCAAATCAAGCACAAAAATCAACGAAAAGGATCGCCCATCGACCAATCCATGAATTCACTACCTAACGTTCACCGAGTATACCTTTCATGCCTATATCCCGTTGAATCCCCTCCCCATCGCCGTGCTTCCCAAAAATTCAGAAGTAAAAACAAGTTACTAGCTACAGGGCATACCCTGCTTCCAAGATGCGGTGTGTTGGTTCTCGACTGATATGTGTACAGTAGTGAGGAAATGCCTTGTCAAAGGCATTTGTTTCAAAGATTTGCATAGACAGTTGATGAGTTTCATACATGAGGGTACGGACTTTGTTGTAGGTAATGCTGAGTGTGGCGTGGTGAAGCACAATGTTCATGGAACATGATTAAGGTCTTCCGAAGGCGGCACCGCGGCCATTGCCGGCGGGGGGCATGCCACGTCCTTCAAAGGGGCTACCGGGAAACTCTGGCCCAGGAGGTCCGTTGAAGCCGCCAAGGCCAGGTGGAATAAAGCCATGAGGTGGGCCGCCGAAGAAACCTGGGGGTGGAGGCGGCATGTTGCGGGGAGGAGGGCCACCTAGAGCCTCAGGAGGAGGCATCACACCGGGTGGGAAATTGGGAGGGAACATATGAGGCATAGGCATGTTGCGGTTAGGGCCGGGGCCGCCAAGACCTCCAGGAAGCCCCGGAGGAGGGATCATAGGCCCTCGTTGCTGGGGAGGAGGCATCTGGCCGCCGGGCATCCAGCTGGGCGGCATCTGGTGGTCCAGGCCTGGAGGAGGTGGTGGGCGCTGCAGAATCTGCGTAGGCTGGTTGGGTCGAGCATCAGCGTCAGGAGGGTTGTGAAATCGTTCCTCCATAGGGAAGCCAGGGGGCGGCTGAGGTCGCATTTGACGTTGGGGGCCACGGTCGTCCCTGGAGAAATCGGGTTCTTGAGGCATCTGTCCTGGCTTTTGTTGCTGCGGACCCATACGCATCAACAATTCATTGCGCTGGGCATCTGGGGCCGGGGGTGCTCTCATGAGGTTCATCAAGAACTCGGTGTTGCTGTTGTTACGAGCAGCGTCGGGACGACCGGAGCCTTGACTAGGTTCGCGCTGGCGTTGACCAACAAGATCCTGCAGAAGCTGTTCGGGGCGAGCAGCTTGTTGCTGAGGTCGCGGGGCAAGAATCTCTTGAACATGGTGAGGCGGGGGTCGGCCCAGGGGACCCTCCATGCGTCGATCGGGTCCATATTGCTGGAAAGGCGAATCGGGGGAGGTGATTGCATTTGGTCTGCCAGCATTTGGCGGGGTGCCTTGAGGAGCAGCAAAGGGTGAAGGGCCTGGGGGTGTAGCGCTCATAGTCTGCTTCTGCAGTTTCGCAAGCAATTGTTTAAAAGCTTGTCGCTCATCATCGGGGCCACCGGAGGGAGCAGGGCCGCCAGGACCGCCAGGGAAAGGCATAGGCATAGGCAGGGGTACACCGCTGTGGACAGGGGGTCCAGTCATGGGAGTCGGAGGTTCTGTCTTACCTCGAGTCTCTTCCTGCGGTTGGTTGAAGAAAGATGTGAATCTCGAGGATTTTCCGGCCGGCTTTGGCTTCGCAACAGGGTTTGTGTTCTCCTCAACACGTGGACTATCAAGGCCGGTACCTGTTTTGAAGGCCTCGAAGAACTTGTCGGGTACCTGGGCAGCTGGAGCAGATTGAACGGGGGGCTTCTCAGCCTCAATCATTGCCTCTGCCGCTTCAACATTCGCAGGCTTACTGGGGATTCCAGCCTTCGCCTTCTTCATTTCTTCCATCCACTTCTGGAAATCCTGCTGCGTATGAGCCTCAGGATGTTCCTCAAGCGGTTCGTCTAGCCATTCAGGCTCACGCTCAGCCCGCTGGTCACGATCCCGTCCCCAGCGTCTATCGTTCGTACGGTTGTTGTTGTTGCTATTGCGATCATCAGGTGTATCGTCGACAGCATTGCGATCTCTCCAACTTTTCGCGCGGTCAATACGCTCACGCTTGTCGGGGGTGGTGGTGGTCGGTTCGGTGGGAGGCGGGGCGGCTGCATTGGCCTCGTTCTTGTACCAAGGCTCGGATTTGTTTCTGTTGAGTCCGTTTCGAGATCGCCCATCATTGTCCTCTGCGTCTCTATTGAGACCATCCAAATTCCGTGCAGGTCGGTCTCGAGTAGCGTCACGGTCATCACGATCCTTGGGCTGTCGCTTTTCATCTCGGAGGTTACCTCCCATACGACCATGGAAACGCTCGGCACCTTCGTGTCCAAAACTCTTGCGCGGCTTCACCGTACTCCAGCCATCTGATTCGTTCTCGCCATCGCGGCGACGGAAACCATTGCTGTTGCGACCATCGCGAAATCGATCGGCGTCTAAGTCTCCGTTGCGACTTCGGAAGTTGCCGAAACGGCCTAAGGCCTCGGGTTCTTTGACAACTTTATCAGGTTCAAGTGTAGATTTACCTCGCGCTGAGGCAAAAGCTGTTCGTGGGGGTGCAAAGACGAGGTCTTCAGGGTCTAAATGGAAGAGTTGGTCAGTATATAGGAGATTCTGGGGTCAGACACAGGGAGACAAACTGGCACTGTTCCTTGAGACATGTCGTTCAACACCAGGACGGCGGTTGGTTTGTTCCAAAAGGGGATTATCATTCGATCGAGGTCGGTCGGCGGTAACCTTGTTCTGGGTGCGATTGGGCTCAGGTGGGGGTCTAAACTTGGTCAGGAGATTTTGATTCCGGCAGTAGGAAGGAAACAGGTTCTACTCACCCCATCCACTCATCAGCTGGAGGAAGATTCGAAGGTTTTATACATAATGGCGACTGCCTTAAGTACAGCAGGTATTCTGCTTCATATCGGGTAACCATTGTGAAGAAAATGCAACGCTATGAGTGCATCCGAGAGGTTCGTACTGAAAATAGAACAGTGAAAAAAAGTCCCTGAAATTAATTGAAAATCGCAAATGCAGAAACTTTCAAAAATTGAACCTTCTCAGAAGAGCGAGGGCGTTGATTTATGCAGTATATAGCCTTTGGCGTTAATGGTTGGTATCGACAAGCAAGGGTGACAACGTGGCGAAGAGAAAATGCGATAACGGAAGAATGGGTTGTTGTTGTGCGGAGAATAGGACGATCAATTCGTCGTGTCGGTGAGTCAGGTGAGAGAAGACGCGGGGTGAGTATCGCGAGAAATTTGGGTGACGACGATGGAGGATGTGGTAGTCGGAGGAAGGCGTAGAAAGTAAAGGATCAGGTCAAATTGGCGAAGGTGACGTCCTAAGACTTGGACCTCACTTTGGACTTGTGGTGGTGGTGAACAAGGCGAACCAGAGGTGGAGCCAAGTCAGGCCAAGCCAAGCTGGGCTTTATTCGAGCCACAAAGACCCAATCAAAGCTCCAGCGAGGGAGAGAACTGTAGAGTAGCTACAGCAATTATTGATTCGCGGAGGGGCGGGTATTGTCTTGTTGTGTCTCGAATAGTAAATATTGGTGTTGGGATTGCGTCGTCGTTGCAGGAGAAGGCGGGCAGTCTAACTGGGGGGCTTGGGAAAGTGTGTAACGGTAGCGCAGGAAATGTTGTCGAATGTTATTTTCGGTGGCTTGAGATTGGATTGTTGCGAAGAGGAGACCGAAAGCGGGCAGTAGGCGAGTCGAGTCGAGTCGAGTCGAGAGGAGAGAGGAGATGGGTGAGAGTGAGTGAGGGAGAGAGGCCGTGGGAAGGTTGAGGACGAAAGGTAGAGGGAGCTACCTAGCGCGGGCTTTTAGCGTGGTGACAGCTGGCAGAAGACAAGTCAGGCCCAGTTTGGGTTATAAAATAACCAAGATACGATAAAATTCAAGGACAATCTACGTTCGATTTGGAGGTATTTTTGACTGATTGACTGACTGTGTTGGAGGTAAAAGAAAATTGGGAGTTTGTTTGTGGAATGGTGAGAATTGCAATCGCAAATGGTGGATGAACACTGGAGTGCACTGTCTAATACTGCTGCACGCACTGAGAATGAGCCTCCACTATTGTACCTGCTGTAATGCGCCGTCGCCTCCACAATAATCTGGTCACTGCAGTTAGAGATTGGGCCTCACGTCGGTTTCATCCTTATGGAACACAGATTCTCAAAAAGTCAATTCATAGTTACACAAAGCCTTATGCATTAATATTCCTAAATCACCTCTAGCTATGAACAGACTATTCCTCGGTAATTGATATCCCACTTCTTAGTTCTTCTGTGCAGCAGGAACCTCCTCTTCAAGAGGCAGGATATGCGGCAACGGACCAACAGGTGTGATGGAGTGAGGGTTGATCTGCGTATGGCTCCTTGTGTAGTGCCACTTGATATGCTCAAACTGCGTGGTGTCCTTGAAAGCAGGGTGGTTCCAGTACAAGTTGCGCATCCAGCGGTTCAGCGCAGGGTAACCAGATCGAATGTCACGGATGTTGCACTTGAAGTGCTGCACATAGACGGGATCGAAACGGATGATTGTGACGAAACTTTTGAAAACCGTTAGTAAAAGCTTCCAATTGGTGATAAACGGGATCTGAAACTCACAGTCTGATATCAACTTCGGTCAATCGCTTTCCGAACCAGTAAGGGCCCTCCTTTTGCTCAGCCAAATGCTTCTCGGCGCGATCTAGAGACTCGAAAAGAGTTACAACGTTGCGCTCGTAAGCCTCGCTTGTGGTCGCAAAGCCTGATTTGTACACGCCGTTGTTGATGTCGTTGTATTGCCACTCATGCGCCTCCTCAATCTGCTTCTGCAGGTCTTCGGGGTAAAACTGAATTGACTTGTGCTCCTCATCCAAAAGGTCGTCAAACTAAAACAAGTCAGTCATCGCAACTCAAAATATCAATCTGTCAAAAGCAATCAACTTACCTCAGTGCCCAACATGCGGAGAATCTCACTGCTCTCGTTGCTCACAATTCGGTTGGTCTTCATATCGTAGAGGACTGGCACAGTGTATCGACCATCGTAGTTCTTCTCACTCTCAAAGTACACATCCTTCAGGTGTGTAAAGTTCTCATGGCCCTTGATCGGGTCAGGCACGACATTGTCGCCAGGAACGTCCTCGTCCTTGGACACGAATCGCCAGCCGCCCTGGCCAAGGTGCCAGTGAACAACCGAGTATGAAATAATATCCTCAAGGCCCTTGAGCTTGCGGGCGATGAGAGTACGGCACGCCCATGGGCATGCGTAGCTCACGTAGAGGTGGTAGCGACCCTTCTCAGCAGGGTACTTTGCATTGGCATCGCGGGAGATCCAGTCTCGGAACGAGCTGACTTGACGCTTGAACTCGCCAGACTTGTCGCCAGGCTTGACCCAGTCAGTGACTTTACCGCCGTTGCTTGCCTGTAGTTGTGTCAGCAGGCTGAGAAGAGCAGTCAGATTGTCAGTTGTGTTTACCATTCTGGTTTGATATGTGGGTTGAATGCACAGAGGCTTGAATGATGATGTATTGATTGTTGAGAAAGATCTTAGGAATTGTTGCTGCTGCGGTTTAAAGAATAGACTCTTATTGAAAACTCGGGATCCTCGGGCTCTGATTCCTTGCATTGACATATCGTAGGAACAAACCAGGGTATTCAATGACGGCGACAACCAAGGTCTTTATAGTTCATTCTCCATCTGAGAAGCGCAGTAGAAAAGTGGCCAAACTGCATCACCACCTAATGAGAATCCTTGGCCATGCTCACTCAGGCTTGCCTCAGCAGCCCCTCATAAGCTATCCGAGTTTACTAACCAGGCAAAACCCAGCTTCACGGTGGGCTCTCTAAGTACTACCTAGAGCTTCCATTACTGTACCATTCCGTCCTAGAGCTGCCTCTAAAGACCGCTTGGAACAATTCCATAATCGTGGCGTAATATTCGTACCCCGCTTTACTGCGCGCTGCTTAGTTAACATGACCTACTTTCTTGATAAGCCTCTCTTCATCATGACAACAGGCTTGGTCAATGAGAGCTCTTTCATCTTTTTTTCAGCTCCGAGTAGCCACAAAATAGTTTGTTGCCGGTCAACGTTTTCGTACTCTATTCACGAAAAACCAATCTTTCATGCACCTAGACAGACAGCCATTATACAATAACAGGTTTGCTTCATCTATCTAATGGATCTCGTCCACTGTCTGATCATGTGCTCATGTCTTCTCGAGTCATTTAACACCTCATATACATATCTCAAAAGACTGGACAATAAGTCCCTATACTAATTTATGCAACCTTGACCTTGATGTAAGGCACCTCTACATCCTCATCGTTGAGATCCTCGGCCACAATCTCAAAGATAACCTCCTTCTGGTGAGCAGGAATAGGCTTCTTGGAGATTGTCTCAACCAACTGGCTCAACTTGAGACTGTATCGCTCCTTAAGCTTAGACGGAGGGAAGAAAGAGGCGTAAAGAAGACTGACGCCGGAGCTCAGCATGCTGATGCTCAGTCCCTTGGCCTTGAAGGTATCCAGAAGCTCTTGCAGAGTGATGTCCTCAATCTCAAAGCGGTCCCAGATCTTGTCCAAGGTAACCTTGCCATCAGGTCCCTGGTATTCCACCTTGGGACTGGCAATTGGTTCACTGAAACCAAAGAAAGGCAGTGCAAGGTTGATGAAACCGTTCTTGTACTGCTCAAGATCATCCTTGCCATCGATAATCTTGTAGAGCTCAAGCACAACCAGACCGGTAACCAACGCAGTGGTTGTGGCAATAGCGGGAATGATCTTTCCAGCGATGAACTTGGTCTTGTGTCGATCAGCGGGCTCGATCTTGTAGTTCTCGGCTCTCAAGTTACTGCAAGCAGTGATGAAATCAATGTGATGGTTCGAGTCATCATCCTTCTCAAAGTCAACAGGAACCAGCTGGAATCCAGACAGAGAGCTGGGAGAAGGCAGGGCGTCGGCCAACTTTTTAGTTTCGTCGTCATCGTCGAAGTTGCTAGCTTCGGCCTCCTGATAATGGTTAGTATCAATGTTTGCGTCAAAAATAGAAGCACTTACGACAGGCTCCTTATCATCCGCCTGGATCTTCACATTGGAGTCGGGAGTGAAGTCGGGGACGATAACGTTTTCCAATTCGCGCAGGTAAATAGACTTGTCAGTTCCTGGAGACTTGATATTGTAGTTGAAAGCATGGAGGTTGGCTGCGGCAACGATGAACCCAAAGTGAGAGGGGTTGTTGGGGTCAAACTTGAGCGCATCGGGAGCTCGCTTGGGTCCGGACCAGAAAGGAGTGCCAGTTGAGGTCGTAGAATCCTTGGGGAAGTTGTAAAGAAGCTGCTGGATCTTGTTGGAAAACTCGGACTCAAAAAGCTGACGAGCCCAAGCAATGCAGTCCTCAAAGGTTCGGGGCCTCTCGGTTGTAAGGTAGTTACGAATGGTCTCGAGGGTCTCCTTATGGTTGCCGCCCTGCTTCAGAGAGTTCTCGATGAACTGGGGCTGAGTAAGGTACAGGTTGACGGTTTGAGGGGCCTTGACGAAAAGCTTCTCGAACATGTACTCCTTAGCCCAAGCGATGGTGTGATCAATCTTGTTAGGGAAACTTCGGATAGTACACATGGGGAACTCCTTCTCAGGGGGGTCCTGAGAAGAGGAGTAAGACTCGGTGAGGTGGGGGAGAACAACTTGTGTGTTGCCCTTGGTTCCGAGAGTACCACTTTCAAGAAGAGGCTTCTGGAAGAAAACGCATCGACGGTCGACATAGGTGCGGGCCTCAACGTTGTCGAGAGCGTTGGTGACACCGTCCAGGTTTCGCCAGAAGTCCTCGTTGAAAACACTCTCGGTCTCGGCACTAACGCGCTCCTTCATGGTAATCATGTGGCCTTCAAGGTCGGGGTTCATTCGCTGGACGGCAAGAGCAGCACGGTCACTCTTCATCTTGCCGACATCATCGGCACGGAAGAGGAACTGTCGGTTCAGGTTACTTCTCTCAATAGAGTCCATATCAGTGACCCAAATCTTGCCTTCCGGACCCGTGCCCAGACCAATCATAGCCCAGTTCTTCAGCATCTCACAACCAATGGCGCCGGCACCGACAAGGAACTGCTTCAGGTTGGCAATCTTGTTCTGGTACTCGGTACCGAAAACAGCGATTTGGCCATCGTATCGGCTACCGATAGGCTTGCAGAGCTCAGCAGTTCGCTTGGTAGATGTAGGCAAGGACTCTAGAGAGTCGAAGTACATCCATTGGTTGATAGGCTGGAACTTGCCGGAAACTGCCTTGAGAACCTCTTGCGCCACTAGACCACCAAAGTAGGCAGCCATAGGGTTGAGGTCACCTTGAGCTTGGTAGCTCAGCTCCTTCAGAAGCTTCTCATCAAGCTCAATTTCGAGACTTTCCTGCTCAGCAAACTTCTTAGCGGCACCCAAGACTACAAGTGCATCATCATCATCCATGGGGTTGGGAAGTCGCTTATGAGTAAGTTGGAAAGCATGGAGGGCCTGGAAGCCCAGGTGGAGCTGTTGAGGTCGGTCGAACTTGGCGAAATCGGAGATAAGGAATTCGGGCTCCTTAAGAGATGTGGTAAAGTCCTTGAAGTTGACGATCTTAGGCATCTTGACTTGCTGGTACATGCCACCTCGCTTGTACTGGCCTAGACCAGAAACGTCGCCGATCGAGAAAGTGTAAGGTCCCTTGACCGTGATCTTTCTGGGCTCGGCTCCGTTGAGAGCCTCCATACCTTCGACCTCGGAGAATGTCACGTAGTCGCCGTCTTCCAATCCGTGTCGGGTTTCGTCGAGGGCAGACACCAGGCCTTCCTCGTCAATACCTGCAACGATACCGTTAAGAGGAGTCTCGCCGGTAGGGTCGATAACTGTAAACTTTTCGCCAAAATCGCAGAAAACGGAACCGAAAAGTCCGAACGTGTCAGCAACGACAACATAAATTCCCTTGCTGTGGCAGTAATCGGCGATGGCCTTTTGTTGGTGGATAGGTGCGTTGGTCAGAACGACAACCTGGTACTTGTCGAATTGTGAGAGTTCACCGTCAAGGCCAGGTGACTGGTGAAGCTTGACGGGTGTATAAGCATTTAGCTCAGCAACGCGAGGGACGGTGACCTCATCTCTGGGCTTTCCGACATCGCTAGGAGTGAGGAAGAACTGAGATGAGAGGTCGGCGATCTGAACTGGGGCGGGGTCGTAGAGAGTAAGGCTCTTGACACCAGCCAGAGCAATATTCTTGGCGATTTCTACACCAAGACCTTTGAGACCAACGATAAGGACGTTGGAAGCACCCATGCGCTTCATGGCCTCGTGGCCCAAGACATAGAGTTGTCGGCTGTAGAGGGATTCGTCGATCTCGTTATGTCCAATAACAGATTCGTCAACCTGCATTCGGGTCGCGAGGTCGACCTCTGATTGCTTTTGTTCCTATATAGATATTTTGGTTAGTCACCCTAGTACAACAGCGTTGATGCCGAAGACAGGTCGCAAAATGACGCCCAGCTTTCACATGCTCTGATAACCAGAGGAACGGCAGTCAACGGGAGGGGGTATGCGTTAGAGGCATGCACTTACGGCCATTGTGCGTTTATGGGTAGGTGACTCCCCGTTGGAAAGCTTTCGTTTCCCCAGCTTGTCTGTCGTCGGTGTTATGGTAAACTGCGTAATGCTGGATCAGGTCGTTGCGAGGCGAACCAGCACCAGACAGAGCTCAACCCCACCAAACAATCAAGGTAACGGTGAGAGGTATAAGAAGGCTAAAAGGGTATCTGCAGGCGAAGGGGTTCTCGTCGCAGATCGTGGTATTCGTGAAAGCAGTTTCTTGAGTATGGGAAATGTAAGGTTGTAAGAAGATACGTTTTGGCTTTGGATGGGTGGAACAGAGAGCGCGACAGGCGTGTCCAATACTGATGAGGTAATGGCCCGAGTCAGTTTAGTGTTGCATGAGGCAACTCGGACGAGAGCTGTTACGCCCCACCTTGACTGTGAACAGTCAGCGGTCTCGGGCAGCTTTAATAAGCAACCTTAAGCCTGAGGGATGAATCATCAGTGAAGGCGAAGCTGTAGGACATATAGAATTATATCAGAGCTATCTATTGCGGATACGCGTACGTTTTAAAGGTTTTGATCTTTGGGGAAATAAAAGACTGTTTCTTAATATTCATCACCGCCTTCAGTCAGTAACAATCAGCCATTTCAGCCCGCGTCTATCACTATCAGCAGTGGGAGGTACCTAAGGTAAGCTTGGCTGTGGCACAGCACCCCCACATTAGCAGCAGAGTCGGCGGTGCCAGGGAGCTTCGATTACCCCTCCGTCAGGGTGTCAGAAGAATTGGTCGTCTTTAAGAGAACAGCTTTTCTGTCATCTACCCGCCCCTCCAGCTATGACTGTCGTAAAGTCGGAACTTCCATTGAATTCTATCACCAGAAGCAGTACAGTATGATCAAACCAAACCCTTGTACCTGAGGCCTTAGCGCTAAGGAAGTTAACATGATGAATACACAAGGTGGCCATTCACCGATCTAGCTCGACATCAAGGTACGCGGGCCTGACGAGATGCAGGTCCCTGCCTCATGCCATCATAAGATCCGACAGCGGGGTCAATCGCGCGGGGCAGATTTGAAGTCGACGTGATGCTACAGCTATAAGACCTTTTCATAACTCAACGTTTTAGCTCTTATTGAATGTGTACATCTTGTATAACCACTTTTGCTCAATGGAGTTTACAGCTAGAATCTTGAGCCACCCAAAACAAATAGCCACGTCGATGCAGACAATCACTAGCACAAGAAAGTTTCAATGATCATTATACTTTTATTCTTTTCATCATCTACCTAGGGAACGATCGCAATGCATGATTGCAAGAAAGTCATTACGTTCAGACACTACATGGCTGTAGGGGTATAGTGAACAGTAGGTTAATCTTTGGAAGGTCTTGTTGAACTTCGTCGGTTAGGACGAGCTCGTCAAAGCCTGATGTTCCGGGATCGATCGATAGGTGACGGGAGTTAAAGAATGCATTTACTGGATCTTCTTGAGCTCGACATCGCTATTGACGAAGTTAGGATCAATGTGTGTAGATGCAAGACTCGCGACTTACAAGATAAGAGTGGAGTTAGGGGGAATGGCACCGGGGAAGCCTGGAGCACCGTAGCCGTAGTCACTGCATGAATCGTTAGCAATGTGATACGAGGTAAAAGGCTACAAGGCGTACGTACGGAGTGATGGTGAGAGTAGCCTTCTCGCCGAGCTTCATATCGACGACACCCTCGTCCCAGCCTACATCAGAGGTTAGCCAATGGTCTGATAAAGTGCGGTGTGAGAAACATACCCTTGATAACCTTGCCAACACCAATGGGAACAACGAAGTCACCACGGCCGACGGAGCTATCGAACCTTGAGAAAGAAAAAGGTCAGTCGCTGGTATGGCGTTTTAAAGCACGGATGAGCTTACTGTGTGCCCTTAGAACCGTCGGCGTTTGCGAGCCAGCCAGTGTACTCCATGGTGACCTTCTGGCCCTTGACGGGAGAAGGACCATTGCCCTCGCTGATGATCTTCTTATCAACACCCATTGTTACTTGTGTGAAGGAAAAGTTGCGAGGTTGAATGAAAAACGGGTTAATTCGAGTGGTGATGCGAGTAGCTCGAGGAATGGATGCAAGAGAGAAAGGGCGCATGATGAAAGAGGAGACAGGCGTGGAGCTTTATACTACAGGAGCGAGGCAACGTCAGGCAAGGTAAAGCAAGGTAGAGCAGGAGCAGAGGACAATGCAGTGACAGTGAGTGATTCAGTACAGTAGCAGCCCGAACAATGGGAATTCTCTTCTCGAGCTCCCCCTGTCCGTATGATCCAATGGCTTCATAGCTCGGCTAAGCTCTTTCAATTGGATCTCAGGGTCGAAATGGCGGGGCAAGCAGATCGACGGCGGGGCAATGGCAAACTAAAATGGCGAACATTGCCAATCAAAACGCCTCTTGACTCCACTGGGCGTGACGATTGGGGGGACCTGGAAGCTCACGGAATTCAGGGCAGTCGACGAGGTACCTCGCAGTGGAAAGATACCTCGTCCTCTCCAACGGTTTCCTATAATTGCGACATACATGCGGCACATGGAACAGGAACACGTGTAGAAGGAATAAGCATCATATGTCATCTCACCTGTGGCTTTTGCAAACATCTCATTCTGCTGTCGTGATTGCTCGGCTGTTGTAACAAGTCGACAACCCCGAGCAACCCCGACTTAAGCCGGACCAGTATTGTACCTTGCACTAAAAGTACATTCCTCAAGACAACAACCGCGCAGTAAATTGAGTACCGCTCTGTAGAGGTACATTGGCATCATCATCCGCCTCAAGCGACACGAGTGACTTCTTGGTCCCAACAAAGCTCATGACACGACGGGATAGACCAGAGTTGTACAGTGCTGTACAAGGCCAAGCCAAGCAAGATGAAACGAGGCGGTGTCGACTATTACAAAGCGTCTGTTTCCATCGGTCAAGCCGTCTCTAGGTACTAAGCTACCGGGACTAAGGTTTGGCAGGTATGGGTATGTGGATGATTAGCTGAGTTTCTCTTCAAATAACAGGCTTCCAGTTTTTATGAGACATGAATGTTCATGCCTTTCGGGGCCTGAAGGCTGTTTACAACGTTTATATTCGAAGTAGACGTGCTTTCTGACCCATTTTCGATGAGACTGTCCTTTGATGCGAGAATCCAAACTCAAATGCGACTTCAACCGTAATGCTTAGCGAAACACCATTGATTCCGTTCTTTATTGAGACTCAATGTAAACGGTTTGGCACAATGGGAGATTTGACATGAAAATTGGCTGCATAATCAAGGTGATATTCGAAACCGAGCTTGCCATTGTTCTTGTTTAGGGTAGGCATATTGGTAAGAAAGCACTATCAGTAACAATGTATTGAAGGTGGTATGCTGTTGAGAAGCTCCATTGATTCTAGATTTACCTATAGGTCAAGGAAAAAATTATATTAATATGGAACATCTTCAAGTTTGGAGAGCTTTGAGCCTGTCTCCTTGATGGATGAGTCCTTACTAACAGTTTGGGTTTAGCTACGAGTAACTCAACGCCAGTCTCAACGGAACTTCAGGAGGTTCTATTTAAGTTTTTCGAAGGTCAGTTATCAAGTCGTACAGGTCATTCAAGATGTTTAAAGTCTCGATAGTGAACTGTTTGATATACTTGATGCCCAGTAGACCCACGCAGATTCTGAACGCCTTGTCGAATATCCTCGACAAGCAATGCAACGAGTTATAAAGGCTCCTTTTTCTACAAGAGTTATTTGTGTTAGATAAGGTGATGTATCTGACAATCATCATCTGATAGATAAAAAAAAAAGTTTGAGAGTATGGAGGGTGTTTCGATTCCGGCGCCATATCTTGCATTCCCTTCATGTCGTAGTATATATTCTATGTGCCTTAGGCACGAAAGCCTGCAGGACATCAATATCCAAGTTCTGCGGACTTTGTTAAAAGGGAAGCTGCTTTATTACTCCTGCCAATCTGAAACCATGTCGATGTACAGGGTATCTCTAATGTAATCGAAAGATTGACCCAAGATGGATGCAAACATTCAACTTGAACCGACTGGTGAAGATAATTTCAACGCTGTCGATAACCATCAGTGAATACCGCCCTAGTCAATGGAATTTCAAGCATATAACGTCGGAACAATACAAGACTCAACGCTGTGATGTCCACGTCTCACTAACCACTCGCCAAGAGATATGCGAATGGGTTCACTTGACTTCGACACGGAAGCCCTCAACCCTGTTCTAGTCGAGGCAGCTCGAACTTCGCGACAACAGTTCGACGAAGCTCTGTGACTGGCCATGAGAAGCCAAGAGGAAAGGACCGCATTGAGCACTCGGCCGGACCACGTCAATGCTGGCTGGCTGAGTCGCAGCCCCATGGGGCTTACAGCACGCTATCGTGGTCAACTCTCAAGCTGATGCCCAGACTTTTCTGTATACCTCGGTAAACAAGCGGCTGGGCGGCCTCTTCTCTGCTTTACAAACTGTGACAACTGGCTTCCTTGAACCGTTAGCTGCTTGTTGCTTTAGACCATGGATAGCCAGATTTGACTCTGTCACTACCATATGTTATCCAGAAAGAGAGAGTTGGGGATTATTGATGCCGATAAACATCTAGAGGAAGGATTCTCATTTGTTGTCCCGTAAAGCGGGACGCTGCGGATATAACAGATGATTTTGAGGCGTAGATTAAACACAGCCCCTGAAAGGACTCGGCTGATTCCTTTGCTCGTAAAATAGAGTTGATATGCCATCCACCTGAACGGGTCTAGTGAATGCTTGTCAAAAGTTTGTGCATGTTGTCAAATAATTTGACAAGACGTATAAATTACTAGACGAGACTAAGTCTATCTATCCGAAGTTGCATGGCTGAGGATCCGAGCTTTGATATGGACCGAGATGATCATGCAAGGCAGTCTTGGTGTTGAGTTGTTAGGGTAACAAACCTACGCCAAGTGCTTGGAAGAGAGTACAAGTGAATTGTGATGTCAAGTGTTTATGACAGAATGAATATCAAAGTCAAGGAAGTAGAAGTTGATATTATTTATTATGGAGAGTAACATGAAACTGGTCACCTATGTCGATCATAAAATATCCGCGTAAGATCAACTCAAGTTTGCGATGCCGCATGCCGGGATCACTAACAAATCGATCAGGGTCTCCCCTAAAAGGTGGACTTCTACAAGGCGTTTCACTGTGGAGCGGCACTGATATCCGCTAAAGCCCAGCCCTTGGCGCAGCAAATGCCGCCATATCCGTGAGAGCCTCCCAGTACTTCCCTGCCGGAAGCTCGAAAATGACGTCAGAAAACAGATAAAACGATGGTACTTTAATGACTTGGCTGAAAGAGCTTGCGACGCTTTTATTGCCAAGAGTTTTTTCTCTTTATGATTGTGGATAGACCAAGACCGAGTCTCACTTGTGATGTATTGTCGCGAGATTGGCCATGGTGTTGAAAATTGAAATATAAGCCACCTGCCGCCAAAAGACTAGGTAGGTCGTAATTTCCAGTAAAAATAACCAAAGTACGGATAAGGCAAGTCCAGACCTTCAAAAGCGCAAGCACAGGTCAAGTCCAGGTCCGTCTAAGTCAACTACCGGCCTTAGGTGCAGCTTCGGTTGCGACGGCGCTTACACACCACCTGCACATCACGCCCCGAGGACCCTTACGAGCCAGCCTCATTCGGGCTTCTTATTATTAACCGATTGTCGAAAGTAACCCTACTTCTCTTTCCTCTCTCTTCTTTTTAATCGCAAGAGTATTCCTCGGATGCGAGAACCACCTGTTTGTTCTCTCCAAGTGACCCTGCGTCCTGTATAAGCAGAATACCCTCTGGCGCAAACTGGTCGATCACTCACAAGCGCAAACTTCTTTCGCATTCCTCAACAGAAACAAGGGTCCAAGATGAGCGCTCCAATCAGCTCCAACGGCAACGGCCAAGCCAACGGTCAAAATGCCGCGACGACAGGAACACAAAACGGCAACGGAGTTGCACCACAACAGAAGAACAAGAAGAATGGAATTATACATCCAAACGGTCATCATGCGATTAAACGCCCAAACAAGATCGGAACTGGTCTTATAGATCGCGTAAACCAAATTAAAAAAGGACCACCCGGCGGCTTCGATCCGACCCCTCTTCCCGATGCGCCCCAAGGCTATACAATTCGATTTATCTTTCATGGCGCTTCCAATCTTGCGCCTGCTGACTTTGTCACCATCTCTTCTGATCCTTACCTCCATGCGACCTTGAAAGGCACTCAGCCAAAGCGTCATAAGGAGGACCCAGACCTTACTCACCGGACAAGAACTCTGAGAAAGACCACCGAGCCACAATGGGACGATGAATGGGTCGTTGCGAATGTGCCACCGACTGGCTTCACTCTCAAGTGTCGATTGTATGATGAAGATTTTCCCGATCACGACGATAGACTGGGCAACGTTACCATCAAAGTGCCCAGACTATCCGAGGACTGGCAGGGAATCCCTCCTCCTGGCCGTGTCTATGAGGCCAAGAAGCGAGTTATGAGCAAGAGAGCTTACGCAACAAAAGTTGTCACCAATATGGTCAACCACAGTATGCACATGACTCCTACACTCCGCGTTAGTATGGAGCTTCTCGGGCCCTCAGCTCCGCCCTTTGCACAAATGCATACAATCGGACCAACAACATGGATCCAGCACTTCAGTCCCCTGATCGGCAGAATCGCTGGCGTCAAGGTCAACACTAATTCCGACGATGACGCTCGAACCGACGAAGAAGAAGAACAGGTAGCTCAGAATGGAGATAAGAAGAGCAAGAGTAAGACTCAGAAATACGAGTATGTACTTCATCAATCTCTTGGACGAAATATACTAACAGCGAGACAGTTTCCAAGCAAATGAGATGCAACTCCAAGGCCCGGTACCCCCCAAGTTATATCACCGGTTTGTCGAGTTCAGACCCATCATCGCGTCGATCTACTCATCTGCGGGCTTGCGCGGTACGATTCTGAACAAGGCGTTACACGGCCAGCACCGCCGTATCTACAGTTTCAATGCATCGACCGCTTACGGCGACTTCAAGGCCTGTACCCAAGAGGCTGCGATGCAATTCCTGAAGCTTGTTCACTTCGATGAGGGCGGCCGTATTTTTACTTACGTTTTGACTTTGGATGGCATGTTCAGATTCACAGAGACTGGAAAGGAGTTTGGTATCGACATGTTGAGCAAGCACACTATGCATTCAGACGTGGAAACATATATTGCCTGCTCTGGTGAATTCTTTGTTCGACGACTTCACCATCCTACCGGCTCAGATGATATCCACCCGCACCAAAAGACACATCCGACGCAAGAAATTTCTGGTGGTCCGCCTAGAGAGCAGCCTCCTGATGATCCTTCATACTATCAGTTGATCATCGATAACGATTCTGGAACGTATCGACCTGACAAGTCGACTTTGCCCTACCTGAAGGATTTCCTCGAGAACAACTTCCCTGGATTGGGTATCGTGGCAATGCATTGGGAAGACGAGGAGCTGAAAGAGTTGAAGGAAAAGCAGCACAAGGTGAAGGAGAACGAGGGCAGAGTGGTCAACATGGTCCTGAACAGGAGCCAGAGCAGCATAAGCTCCGCCGAGAGTGAGCTAGATGAACGGCAACAAGGGCGCAAGAGTAAGCGACAGGCAGCTTATGAAGTATTGGAGGACCCACACACCTTTAAAGACGCTGTCAAATCGGTCGTTCCTGGTCTGAACAAGGAGAACGGCGAGAGTTCTAAGTAATTGATTTATGATTAACGGCCGAGAAAAGGTTATGGGATGGCTCATTGAACGGACTGGCCTGTTCATGGCGAAAGGATACCTGTATGGATTTCATATACCACTTTTGCTTTAGTAGTTTTGTGTTCCCTGATACCTTGGTTTATTTCGAATGTATTTTATTGCCTCTGGTCTCGATAATTCTACTCTAATTCATCCTGCCTCTCAACGATCGCATCATGATGCTCGACGTTTTAAAGACTTGGCTTCAGTGCTACCCACTTACTTGAGCAACTCGCCAGCACTTCTCCATGCTCGTCCTTCATCTCACTTCTAACTTTCGTCTTGCGACCGTCAATCTCCTCTGCAACAGCTGTGATATAGAGAACACTATTTGTTGGGACAGGCTTTAGAAACTTGACGTCTATGCCACCTGTCACACTGGACGTCTTGAAAGCTCTCGCATCTTTTCCCAAAGCCCTATTCAGATCAAAGATGGTGCCCATAGACTCATCAAAAAGGGCCGCCACCATGCCGCCGTGAACAACACCAGGATATCCGCTCAGACCTTCACCCACCGACACTAACACAACAATCTCAGTGATGTTATGCGATGGATCCTTAGCAACCTTGATACTCGGCGCATGGAAGTAGCTGATAAAATGATTCAAGCTGCGAGATTCATTGAGCGTCTTGCCAAAAAGTTGGTCATGCGCAGACGACTGAGGATTACGACATGATGGGACGAATGGGATCGTATCTGGAGCACACAGCAGACCTGCAGTCCAAGGATGCGAAGCAAAGAAGGAAAGTTCTGAGGCGAACAGATCAGGCGGCGCATTTTCTGGCGTAATTTCAAGCGCTGGGCAAATGATTGAGTTGGTGTAAGGGGGAAATGCCATGCTGGCTGATGAGAAGGCGTTGATAGGTGAGAATGAGAGGTTGGTATTGACGGGGCGGCCGAAGCGGCTTTGATCTCGGACCCGAGAGAGCGGGGCCGGTCGAGGGATCCAGAGACTGGGCAATGCAGTGGAGGTTCGGAGTCTGAGTCTCGGGAGTCTAAGGCAGTGCATCATATGAGACAATTGGTCAAGAGTTGTAAAGTTAACGTGGTAAAGGCATGAGTGATAAGAGAGGGTTTGCGCCTTGTTTAGGGAGTTTGATCGACATTGGATCAAGGATGGGAAGCCGAGGTACTTTGGACAACGGAGGCTTGGCCGATTTGGGGTGAAGAAAGGTAAAATAGGACACTCCTATTGGACGGCGTACACTAATTCATCTTCAATACATGGAACCCAGCTACTTTGACAGCATAACTCTAAGAATGCAATATGATAATTGAGTTTGTGTTTTGCTTTGTTTCACAGTTCAAGTGCCATGTGCTTACCATGTTGCAGTTTAATGTTGGGTAAAAACGGTTGCCTTTGCTGCCTGGAGCAACCACTGTAAGTGAACCTAGCCATTGATGCCACTATGAACCTATGTTAGCTAACTCAGTCTTGAATGACTGTATAGCGAATTCCCAATCACAGTGACAATTAATAAGTCAACTTTGAATCGGACCATCTGGTCTTGGTTTGTGTTGCTTTGTAACTCGGTGCTTGTCACGCCTCGGCAAACATTGAGTGAGTTCAAACATAGACTGTATGTGTACGGCAAATAGGTGATAGAAAACTCAACAATGTAAGGCAAAAGGAACTATGAAGGTAAGTATTTTCTGAGTATGTGCGTACAAGTTGAACTGTTGCTCCAATACATGTAGTCTCCTCAGGTCGTAGTGAATCACCAAACATTAAGGAAGCAAGCCACAAATACTGCAAGCTGCCACTGATGGCACCTGCCAACTCTATCGCACATCCCGACAGGAAGGCGCTCCTTCCATAATCAGACGCAAAGTGAAGTGACTGTATCGCAGCCTTGAGCTTCCCCTCCCTCTCCTCCCCCTCTTTCGTTCCTTCCTCGGTTTTCGTTCGCGTTCACTCGCGTAGCGTGCGTATCTGTCGCTCCTCACCTCTGCATCGCCAACCTCAACTTCGACACCGAAGCGTTGGATTTGCAAATCGTCAAGATGGAGCACATGGGCAGACATCCACGAGGGTACTCTCTGTCGCCTGATCATATCAACGTTCTTATCACCATCGAACGAGTTGGTGCCGGCTGCTCTATGGTAGCTATTGTTCTTTTGTTGTTGAGTTTCACCTTGTTCAAGAAGCTTCGAACCACTCCCAATCTTTTCATTGTATTCGCATCTATTGCAAATGCGGGTGCCAGTGTGGCATCTATGATCGGATATGATGGCCTGCAAGCAGGAGAGGACTCAAGCTTGTGCCAGGCTCAGGCCTTTATCTTTGAATGGTATTACTCTTATGTTCTTGTTTAAATAAGTTACTGACACGATCTCTTACAGGTTCATGCAGTCCGATCCTTGGTGGTCTCTTGCAATGGCAATCAATGTGTTCCTTGTTTTTTTTTGCAATGCGGACCCAAGAATGTTTCGCAAGTATGCTTGGTTTTACTGCATCATCTGCTTTGGTGGGCCGATGATCCCAGCCATTGTGCTGATTTCAATCCGCAACTCGCCCAAGGGTCTCATGTATGGAGACGCTGCAGTAAGTAGTCAATCATCCAAATTACTCTTCGCAAGCTGACAGATGCAAGCTGTGGTGCTGGATCGGAAGCGACTGGAGTCTTGTTCGCCTCTACGCCTACTACATCCCTATCTGGATATTTTCCTTCCTCTCTATCATGATCTATGTTGCGGTCGGATACCGGGTATTTCATGCTCGAAACGTGCTCAAGCATATGGTGGTGGATGGGATGAAGGTTGAAAGAAGTGACAGCATCCCTTACTCGAGTAGCGAGCACCGAGGCTCCTCCGAAGCGGTAGCCTTTCCCCATGGTACCAGTGAGGCAAGCGATACTGACTCTTATCATCAGAACCTCACGGGCCGACAGGAGATTTACGGCACCGTCGTCACAGAAGTTCAAATCACACGAGAGGAGCCAAGACAGGGGACAAGCCATGGAATCGCCCTGCCTGCTGCAGCTCATACTGGTTCCAGTCCCCCACGCATCCAGTCTTGGGTTCTGCCTGGTTCTTTTGAGCAACTCGAACGCACTACTTCTGGAAGGGCTCAGCGATTCGAAACAGTTTGCACGTCCGACAGCGCCCCTCAGGAATCTTCCACTTTGATGACTCGACTTCGCGCTATCAAATCTAACGCCTCCCTAAAGCTCAAGCGACTCGACCCTGTCAAGATGGCATACCTACGCACCAGTTTCATCTTCGGTTTTGCAGTATTGATTACCTGGATCCCGAGCTCAATCAACCGCCTGTACAGCCTGACGCATCACGACGACATCAGTTTCGGTTTGAGCGTGGCCAGTGGATGTGTACTGCCACTCCAAGGTTTCTGGAACACTCTGATCTACTTTACGACCAGCTGGAAGGTGTTCTGCGAGGAGGTTCGCACAGCCAAATCGAAGTGGTTCGAACGGTCCGAAGAAAGTACAGATGGGATCCGCCTTAACAGTCGACTTGGAACTTACAAAGGAGACTATCGCGATACCTTTGAGCGAACTCGACAAGTCCGCGCCGGCTCCACCGAAGACGGTGAGAAGTCCATGACAGAATAATCCGTATGAAAAAATTTATTGGAACCCGGAGACGGCATATTTTATGTGTACATGTAGGGCCAGAGATGTTGTGGAATACATTATGAGAAAGACAGAGAACTGGGCATTGTTAGGCATTTAAAAGCATATCACATCAGCCAGTTATAAATCTGAGACTATTCCATTATACGTTTCTTCATTGCATATCTTCGTGATGATGTGAGGATTCATGATATCTTAAGCTTTGTAAACGGCCTCGCCTTCAGCTGCATCAACACCTTGTTTGACAACCCTATCGACAGCAGCAGGAATATCCTCGTCACCGTCAAGAAGATCGTACCAGCCATTCTTGATACCATCGGCGGCAAGAAGATGCGAAGCAACTTCAGCGACAGCCTCTCGGCTAATGCCGTCTTGGGACGAGACATGCTTGGTCTTGCCTAGCTCAACCTTGGTAGCGGGCTTATCGTTTAGAGTTCCAGGTCGGAGGTTGATACCGATGAGACTAGGGCTCTTCTTGGAGACCTTGTAAAGAACTTCGTCGGCCTCAATCTTGGCCTTGTAGTAGTTGGCGAGAACGCCATTGTTGACCTTCTCATGGAAGTCTTCCCACTCACCCTTGGGCCACCATGGGGCACCAGCGCGACGTGAGCCAAGGTATGAAACGAGAAGGAACTTGGTGATGCTGGGGACTGCAGCTGCAGCGTGGACGAAGTGAACGGCGGCATCTCGGTCCACCTTGAAAGTCTGGATGGAGTTAGTGGATGAGCTGATTTGAAGAGGGATGAGACTGTTAGCGGCATACCTTTTCAGGGCCACCTTTGCCTCCAGCACCTATAAGATATTAGAGTGAGTTCAATAGTAGGTTTGTATGGTTGTTTTGACGTACCGGCACTCCAAGCAATGTAATCGGGCTGAACCTCGCTCAAGACTCCAAGAGCCTTGTCTCGCGAGTCGATGTCCTCAATGCTTCTCACGAGAACATTAAGTTTACCGGGGAGCCCAGCTCCAAGCTGCTCAATGGTGGGTTTCTGCTCTTCACTTCGGATAACGCTGGTGACAGTCCACGAGCGCTTAAGAAGGAGGGGAGTCAAAAGCTGGGAGACCTTGCCGTGGCCGCCGAGAAGAAGGACGTGGTGAGAGGCCATATTGTGTATAAGTAAGATAATCAAGCGCTGTTAGATGAATGGGGATTGATAGCTTGGTACGGATGATATGACAGCTCTGAAGATCAATTGATTTATATGAATTTTTATCGTCACAGATTGAACGAGGACTTATGTTCTGTCTCTATTTCTATTTCAAACCTTCAGAACGAGGTATGACGACATTCGTGACAAAGTGGGGCAATTACTAATGTTGAAAGGATAACGGCATTTGATTGATGTAGGGATCTCAAAAAATAGAGTTGACGATATCTTGGTGGTTTTGCTCGCCATCAAGGTGAATCTTGTTGATCATGTCTTCTCGGAGTGCCTTGGTAAATACTGGGGTTGTGATGTCAGATTAGATATGGTGTTAGTGGTGTATTGGACTACATACGAACTAAGAGCGTGACCAGTCACCACATTATAGCTCGATAGTATGAGAATAGCCTTCTATTAGTTTGAATTATCATACTCTTATATCATGATACCTGGCAATAAGGAATATCGGTGCTTTGGGCCACATACCCGCAGCTTATACCAGAGCAACACACATAGCCTGCGCCCTTGTAAGCAGTCAATGTCACTCGCTTACCCTGTCATGGTCAAGCTTGATCTTCAAAGGTAAGATCTTGTGAGAAAGGGTGTTCACTATGGCCAATAAACCATGCAAAGTTGATTGAAAACAGACAGATTCGCATTTTGATGGCTTCAAGGGCTTAGTCAGCGGACGAGTCGCTGTAAGAATCTCGGGAGTTGCGGAGCTGCCATGAACTAAACCGTTTACGGGCTGAACACTCATTGGATGTCTTTGCTCACTGCTTGTTGTATATCAGTTCAAGACTCGCCCTTGCCTGCTGACGTTGGGTTGCTGGCATTTGGCAAATCTGAATTTTGAAGGAAGCTTTCTGTGTTGCCTGGTACTTCTCGGTGACTAGCAAAGCTTGCCCATCTCAACTCTCCTGCTACAAATCGCTCAACCCTGTCTCGACTCATCGTGAAAGTTAGCTTTGGACAGGGATTGAGTCCTTCCTTGTATGAGTATCTCCAAGTATCTCTTTGGTGCAGGAAAAATGGCTAAGACAGTCTGTATTGTTGGTGAGTTGCGCCTTGTTATGCTGGGTATTCAAGCTGACTCTTGCAGGTGCTGGTCCCTCTGGACTTGTTGCAGCCAAGACCTTGTTACACAACACTGCCCCTGGCGAATTCAAGGTCACTATCTTTGATGCTCAGAAAGATATTGGCGGCCTATGGCCTACGTCCAAGACGGACAATGGACGTCAAGTCCATCCCTTCATGTGGTCGAACCAAAGTAGACATACGATGCAGTTCAGTGAGCTTGCCTGGGAGGACCGCGACCCTCAGCTTCCGCAGGGTTGGATGGTTGGAAAATACCTTCAGAGATACCTTGAACGCTTCTTGACGAACAACACCGATTTTGAGCTTAAGCTTGGCACGCGCGTTGAAAGCGCACAGCGTCCGCAGGGATCAGCTAATGGCTGGGCCGTCAGTGTCAAGTCAGAGGCTGGCACCGAGACTAAGAACTTTGACTACCTCTTGGTGGCTTCTGGCTTCTTTGGCAAGCCCATCATACCCGAGAGTCTGAAAAAAGAGACTGATATCCCTGTCATTCACAGCAGTCATTACAGGGATATCGCGAATCTTCTCGGTAAAGGCCGATCTGGTGGTGGCAAGATTCTTGTCGTCGGAGGACAAATGTCTGGTGTTGAGATCACAGGAACCATCGGCGCGCATCTTTCATCGGAAACCAACTCGCCTGAGCAATCAAAGGTCGTCGATGTCGAGAAATACAGTGTTCATCATGTCATTCAGAGGCCGATATGGGTGTTTCCTCTCTACACAAGCCCCAAAGTAAGACACTATCAGAAGTCTTTGTTTTGGTCAATCACTAATATGCATCTAGCCTACAAACAAAGCCGCGCCGTTTCTGCCTCTAGACTTCTCATCTTACAACCTCAATAACCGACCCAGACCTCTGACCAACACACAAGGGCATATCCCCGAAGAAACGGCAAAGACAGTGCATAGCATCTATAAGGGCGTTCTTGGCACTGATCAGTCTGAATTCTCTCCTTTACTCAAGACCGATGGCACAAATGACAGCAAACAACCCTACCTCGCCGTCAGCGAATGGTATACCGATTTTGTTCGATCCGGATTGATTACATTGTCAAATGGCAAGGTCGAAGGTCTCGACGGCTCTACAGCAACATTGTCCGATGGTACGAAAATCGAAAATGTTGCAGCTGTAGTAGTAGCAACTGGGTTCGACCCTTCACCCTGCATAAGCTATCTCACAGACGACGTTCTCCAGACACTAAATTTCTCCCCAAAGCATATCGATCAGCCTATTGCTCTAGCTTTCCACGGAACTCACCACCCAGAAGTCCCTGATCTGGGCTTTGTTGGATTCTACCGATCACCATACTGGGGTGTCATGCAAATGCAAGCTCGATTCGTGGCAGCTTTATGGTCCGACAGTGTGTCGCCAGGGCGTGAATCGGAGGTTTTTAAGAACAAGCTTGCCGACGACGTTTCTATCCAGCGAACCCTCGACCTGCGAAATGACCCTCGTGTGTCACAATTCCCAATGGGAGACTACCCTTACCTCGTGAACGAGATGGCAGAAGCACTTGGGTTAGAGATTCGCGAGCCTCTTACGCCACCAGTTCCTAATCTACCACACAACGACCTCCCGCTGGACATGCTCACGCCAGCACGGTACTCAAACCCCAACGATGATCAAGAGTCGAAGGATGCGGCAACAAAATCGCTAGAGCAGACACGCAAAGATGCGACTGACGGCCTTACAACTTCAAGATTTGTGGCCCACGCTGTATTCCGCAGCCTCCTCGGCACGTGGAAGCTGGAGCGCGATCTCATCAGCAAACTACCATCTCACCCAAGTGGCCACTTCAGTGGTACCGCGCAATTCCTCCTCCGCGAGAAAACAACCGATGGTTTACGATGTGCCGGAAACCCCAGCGAAGACTCTACGGACGGTGAAGGTCTGGGTATGGAATATCTCTACATTGAAGAAGGCGAGTTCAAGACAGCTCAAGGCTTTGGTTTCAAAGCCACACGTCGCTACGTCTGGCGCTACGATGAGCTCAAGGACGTGCTGAGTGTATGGTTTGCTAAGCCGGAGGATCTAAAGCGTGCAGACTACCTCTTCCACGAGATTGAGTTTGCAAAAACGACAGAGAAGGGATGGGCGGCCAAGGCGGGGCATTTGTGTATTGACGATTACTACGATGTCAAGTACAACTTTGCGTTCCAGGCTGTGAACTTGAAGGAGTGGATGATTGAGTATACGGTTAAGGGACCTAAGAAGGACTATACCATTACCGGAACTTATACTCGATAAAACCTCTGTCTATGAGCGGAACGTAAAGCAGATAGAATAAAAATACAGGGGAATTGGATGGTCGTGATGCATCTCCGCGGCAGGATCGGACAGAAGGCGGACCGGGCCGATGTTTGAACTTTCCCCACAGGTCAAAAGCGAGATGCAAGATGGGAACCAGATTCGATCTACCTGGGTAGTATTTCCTGCATCCGCGGAACCAGTCCTTTGGGTTTTGATGCTAGCAAGGTCAGATCATCTGCAGGCACTCTATAATTGCGGCTCCGAACCTGCAGTCCGCAGCGACTTCCTGGTGTAAATCAGCGAATCTAAAACTGCCTGACGGGTGCTTTGATTTCGGTCTAAAAGAGATGTAAACGATAATGTGCGATGTTACTGACGAACAGTAGCAGTATCATCTATCACACAGGTGAGAAAAGGAGAGCGACCTTTCTGGAATATAGTATAAGAGATACGACGATGAAATTCATGACAAAGCCTCATTTAGTATGATGACATCTCTGAGGATTTTAGGGAAGTGAAGTTACAGCAATATATATCTTTAGATTTTGGCCTGATAGTATATCATGGCCAGTCATCGACTTTATAGACCACCAAATGTTTGTCAATAGCCTATGTATCTCATGTGTTATGCTTCCTCTAAGAAGTATTAAGCTCCAATAACAGACGAGATGTACAAAAGGCCAAATAGGAAAATTGTATAAATATCCCTCTACACATCGAGACTCTCATAATATTAGGACGCACCACCTCTCCCCAGATGGCTTGATACGGGATGAACAAGCCGTATTCGCGAACCTGACAAAACACCTTTGGTTGTCATCGAGATGGGAAACAAAAGTCTGATGATTTAGCGATCAGGCCATTTCGTAGGGGGACTGGGGTTCTGCATCCCTTGTCCCTTGCATATCGGCCGATGTACGGGCCCGGGTGGGGCATTTTGACCCCGGAACCCCGGACACGGACACCGAACGATTCTGGGGAGTTGCTTTCCATGATTCTGGGAATTTTAAAATTGAGGGAACGATGAGTCAGATACTCTCGGCTGATTGGCGAGCGCGGGGTACATTGGAGAATTTTATGCTGTACGGAGATGTTTATATGCCGTTGAAAGCTGCCTCGTAGTGTCGTCAGCAACAACCCATAGAGACAGGAATGCGTTTCCTAAGAAACGCCAATGAACAAAAAACCCAAAATAATCATTTTCGAGTTCCATCATTCGTTGGAGGCCAACTCAATTGTCAGCTTTCAAGTTGCCCCCTCTCCTTAAAAAGACGCACAAACATGCTTGGCATTCAAGCTATGGATATGATATGGTCTGATTTTTGATGGCACATGCTGACGACACCGCTGTTATTGGCAAGAGTATAGAGAATATTGGTGGTAAATGCGTTGTAGATTGATAGTCTATGGCCTCCTTTTTCGTCGTATGCTGTGTGGCTGTGTCTGTCTGAGAAATGGCTCCATTCTCTTTTGTCTCTGTAGCAAGGAGGAGCATGTCAAATAAAGTCTGATTTGATGTAAATTTAAAGTATATTTATACTCAAGATGAGCCTTCCCGTTGTGGAGAATGCCTAGACAACTCTAATGCACCTTCCAAGCTTACATCCCAGCGTCCCTTCAGAGACCCCGCGCAATTAAGGAAAGAGCTGAACGTCGCACAAAAATACTCCTTCCAGGTTCTTATATTCGACCTTGTCTGCCTTGACCTTGCATTCTTACATTCTGCACCCCTTCTACTTATTCCATTCATACTCTTCGTTTCATACCTACTTTCAATCATCTCAACATGAAGCTCGCCGTATTCAGCACCAAGCCCTACGACAAAAAGTACTTGACGTCCGTTCTCGACGCCAAGCATGCTGCCTCGGGCATTGAGCTCGTCTTCCACGAGTTCGCTCTCAACGAGGATACTGTCTCTCTGGTCGAAGGAGCCGATGCCATCTGCGTGTTTGTCAACGATATTGTCAATGACAATGTCATTTCAGCTCTGTCAGAATTTGGCGTAAAGGCTATTTTGCTGCGTTGCGCAGGCTTCAACAACGTTGACCTCGACGCCGCCCAACGTCTCCGCATAATGGTCGCCAACGTTCCTTCTTATTCCCCCGAAGCTGTCGCTGAATTCGCCGTTGCTCTCATCCAGACTCTCAACCGAAAGACCCACCGCGCTTATAATCGCGTTCGTGAGGGTAACTTTGCCCTCGATGGTCTTCTTGGAAAGACTCTCCATGGAAAGACCGTCGGCATTGTGGGTGTCGGAAAGATTGGTCTTGCCACTGCTCGCATCATGAAGGGCTTCGGCTGCAAACTGCTCGCCTACGATCCCTTCCCTTCTCCCGCCTTCGATGAGTATGGCGAGTACAAGGATCTCGAGGACCTTTTGCCCCAGTGCGATATTGTCAGTCTGCATTGCCCACTTATGGAGCAAACACGGCACATCATCAACCGCGAAACTCTGGCTCTCATGAAGCCGGGCGCTATGTTGGTCAACACCTCACGAGGTGGTCTGCTCGACACCGAAGCTGTCATCCATGCACTCAAGACGAACCATATTGGTGGTCTTGCCCTTGATGTGTATGAGGCAGAAGGAGAGCTCTTCTACAACGACCACTCCTCCACAATCATTCAAGACGATAAGCTCATGCGTCTCATGACCTTTCCCAATGTGGTAGTTTGTGGCCACCAGGCCTTCTTCACCGAGGAGGCTCTTACCGAAATCGCCGAATGCACCCTTGGCAACCTCGAGGAGTGGATAGAAACCAAGACGGCAAAGAACTCATTGACTAAGGACCTTAAGCTGCGACGTCGTGAGTCACTGCCCGTCCGTGCCATCTAAACTCGGCCTTGTCGCTTTTCGAGATCCTGCTCTTCGTGGCAGCGATGTCTGAGGAACGAATGGTGAATATCCGATACTCGAGCCTCTGGTCGCACTGCTTAGACAGAGCTCTCTACGGACCTGCGCTTATTGCTTTTTGCCATCATCTAAGGCTTAGTATGATGACCTAGTGTTAGCGGGAGATAAGAGAGACGGGCCCTTACCATGTGGTTCACCCACCAAGTGGACCTTGAAGAATCTGATGCGACCCATCTCATCACCGAAGTGCGCCGGCGCAAATCAAGGTCGCACGAACTTCTCCTTATCCCCTGAAATTCCCGTTTCTATGGACCCCGGCTGTGGTAGCTGCGTCATGTTTTCGTTTCATGGGTTTTCGTGCGCTTCGGGTTTAGGTTTTCATGAAAAGGGTGAAGGAATATTGTGTTAGAGCTGCTACCGTCAGTAACGTTCAGTTTGGCAGGACAAGGCATGCTTCACAGAGGGCACATAATAGAGGCATCGATAATGTATTGTTTTCAATAAAACAGCCCTAAATTCAATGGGTATTATGCTAAATATCCAAGTACACTCTAATGCTTTTCCATGCATATCCACCCATATGCAGGTCCTGTCCAAATATTATTACCATCGAATCTCTCTCTAGCCGTCATCACGTCTAAGTCCGGGTCTATTTTTGCAGTGACATAGTCCATCAAGGACAACATAATAGGAAAGCTGAATTGTTTTGATCAACTTAAGGGTTGCTGACGTAGCTTCGAGCGCGGCGCAAGTCCTCGTCCTCAGAATCGTCGCGAACCTGATTGCCCGCGCTGTTGCGGCTCTTGGCTTTCTCGATATCATCGACACTCTCATCCTCGCCAGCGTAAGCGTACTTGCTGCGCTCACGAATCTTGGCACCGTACTGCCAGAACAGGAAGGGAATAGCACAGCATGCAAGTCCGAGGAAGGCCAGAAGAGTAGAGGCCCACTGGTCACCGAGACGTTCGTACATCTGCTCAGTGAATAGGACAACAGCGGCACCCCAGAAACTTCGAATACAAGTCTTTGCTGCAAGGGCAGAAGCGGCTTGGTGCTGGTAGGAATCGACGAGGTAGTTGTTGGCAGAGTTGTAGAGGAAGATGAAACCGAAACCGACAGGGAAACCACCCATAGCAGGACCAGCCCAGGAGAGATTCTCGTAAGAAGTCCATGCGAAGATGAAAAGACCGATGGGAATGCACCAGCATGAGATCATCATGGGAATCAGACGGACCTCAGCGGGAGGATGACCATTGTGCTTCTTGACCAACTTGAGGTAATGCTGGTTGACAAATGGCGCACAGAAGGCAGACATGATAACACCGACTGCAATGGGAATGAACATAAGACCAGTCTTTCCAGCAGAGTATCCTTTGCCCTTCTGGTAAATGATGGGATAAGCGACGAAGAACATGTACAGAAGGCCGTAGAGGACACTCATATACAGAGAAATGAGGAACACAATGAGTTCGCCAAAGAGGAGCTGGAAAGGTCGGATAAGGAAGATTCTAAGACGTTCAGAGATGGGACGCAAATCGAGTTCCTGCTCAGTGACATGGTCGGTCTCGCCAGTCTCGGCTCGGAGCTTGCGGGCGCGACGGGAGAGGATAGTAGGGGCGTAAGTCTCGGGGACGGTGAAGGTGATGAGAATCCAGACGATGAAGGCGAGGATGAGTTGGATCCAGTAGAGCCAGCGCCAGCCAGCAGCGTCAGAGAGGAAACCACCAACGAGGGGACCAACTGTAAGAGGTATTAGCATGAATATGTATAGTATGAGGATGCTTGAGTTTACTTACTGGCAGGACCGATGAAGGGAGCAGCAGAGAATGCAGCCATGGGAACACCACGCTCCTCATTCTTCCACAGATCGGCAAGTGTACCACCGACGAGAGTCATCGGCGCAGAGAAGGCAATTCCACCAATGGCACGGCAGACGAGAAGAGTCTCGATGTTGGTGGCCACAGCGCAAGGAATAATGAAGATGAAGGCAACGAACAGAGTAGATCCGCTGTATTCTGTTAGTAACACTCTTTATAGTACCAAAGCTGAGGGTAAAACTTACTAGATGATTCTTCGTCCGTAAATCTCAGACAAAGGCGCAAAAGCCATAGGTCCAACACCGAAACCAACAACAAACAAACTGATACTCGCAAGGGCAAGCTCTTCGCTCACATGAAGATCCTTCGTCACACCCGCAATATCAGCAGTGATGACAGACGAACAGAAGGCAACAACAAAGCAAGTCAGCGCAACACACATAGTGCACCACCACTTGAACGCTTTGCTCCAATTCTTAGGGTTTCCTTGGTCTCCTGGCGTAAAGGCAACGAGCTTGTAGCGACGCTCGGTTCCAGGCTCATGGTTTGTGGACTTGCGAGCGATCTCTTCGGGTTGCACAGGACCGGGGATGGCACCGCCTGGGACTTCGACGCGGTACTCATCGAGGTTGGCGTTTGCGCTGAGGGTACGGTAGGGGAGGTCGATGTCGAGATCTGGATCGCGGTGTTCCTTTTGAGAGCCGTCTCTTGAGTGACAGTGGCTGTGAGAGAGGGGGCGGCGGACGCGGGACATTGCGCTTTGGTGGGTGTTTATGGGAGCAAATGTTGCTTCATCTCCGCGGTTTTCGTTATCGAGGGTTGTTGAGGATCGATTTGTGTTTGGTTGATCCATGATGAATAGACAGAGTATTCAACTCTAGGTATTAATTAAGAAAGAAGATATGACAGACAAAAAGTAAAGATGAGAAGCAAGCTAATGTCTCATTCAAGATGTTCAACCCAGTATAATTCCACAAACAAGGACGAGGGGGCCAAGCCCACCTCTATATACTACTCTCTTCATTTCCTGACCCAAAGAATTCTCGCCGAAGTAGTAAAAGAGAATTACTCCACTTGATATCGCCGCACCCGAATTCCGGGTCTGCACCGTGGAAAGTGGATACCGCCACCCGGACCTCAAAGATCCACCTCTGCGGATGCGGCTACGAACCGTGCGGCTCCATCCGATATCAATAAGCACAGAAGCCAGACAAGATAAACAAGACAGCCAAGCATAACCAGACATCAGCACAGGACAGGGGTTGTGATCAAGTCAATGGGGATACTTCGGTATTGAACTGCAGTGTAGTGTAGTATTATCGATTCATCTGTGCTTCTTTGATCAGGGGACATACTACCATCCTATGCTGTCAATCCTTGTCCCCTTGGGAGCCTCATTATCAGCTGCATGTTTTTCTCCTTTTTCCTCTCGCATGCTTTTCCTTCCCCTAGCTTATCTTGATTCAACTCTGCTTAGCATACACTTACACCGATCTTACGCTAGTCCTCGGTCTGCATGAGTCGAAGTAAAGATCTTTACGGGCGTCTCTGAGTCTCCACCTCGGACCCGATGTGGATCTGCTCTCTCTCTCTACAGTTATCGCCCGGTCATCGGAAGCTGGGCCCTGGGCTGAACTTCAAAAGTAGCGAGACAAGCTAAAAACTCAAGCTTTGCGCCAACGTCATTGATGCTACTCTGATCCCTGCTAATCTAGCGGCAATAACCCTGGTAATAACTTCAAAGAAGTATCATGTTGTTTATTGATGCTTTCTATCACTGTCAACCCATAATGTAATTTCTGCCTTCCCGGAACATCACCGAATCTCCCTTCATCCCCAACATGTTACGCTATCATCAGATCAGCTTAATTGAGTTCCATGTTGACCTTCGCGATTCCATTTAGTGCTATACTGACCATGCATTCATTGCTGTCGCTTTCCAGTATCCTGGTAGCGCATCCGTGGTATCGTTCGACCTGCGGCAGTTGAAAAGCCACATCTGTCTTTGTCGACAGGGCTGTTTCTAAATTCGTCAAAGGCTCAACAAACACGTTTGGTGCTGTGACAATCTGATCGTTGTCACTCATGATATAGTCGCCATTAAAATCGACCTGTCGTAAGGTACCGTCTGCTTGCACAATAGCACGGCTCGAGGTCTTTCCACGCCCGCTACGTAAAGCCCACGCCCGTGCCCACCCCTGTGTGCTGAACGCCCAAAGAACCGTGTCGGGTCCCAAATCCATGGCAAGCTCCACCAGATTGTGACAGACAGAAACGGGCTGTCCTCGGATTTCGACTGGGCGAGGCAATGTCTTTCCTGCGGAGGGACTTCCTGGAAGCTGAATGCTGCTGTAACTTCCTTTGATCCGTTCGCCCATTCCACCCAACATATTACCTTCCTCCTCATACTGGGTTGCATTCATGCACATTTGACGACATCGACCTTCTGATATGACGGCAAACAGATCGAGGGGTATCGTGTAGAGGACGATCATCTGCATGTCTGTGTCTGAAGACTCTGGTGGATCGAGTTTAATAGACGTGACACCGGCACGTTCTCCTGGGTCCCCTAGACTGCTGTCCCCACCAGTAACCGAGAATGTTGCAGCGACACAGAGGCCATGGCAAGTGTCAAATTCGGCTGTGTATAATACGGGTAGCAAAGAATCGAAGGGAGGGGGAAATCGGGCCTCGCAAATCAAGCGATTCGAGGACCCAGCCGGTGCATCAGTGCCCAAAGAAAGGGTCCCAGTTCTGGGATCTGTGTACAAGAGGTGGTGTCCATCACTCAGTGGAACGGCTCTGTAGTGATCCGTGATGCTGCTGGTGGAATAGCCAGCATGTTTCTATCGTTGTTGGCCTTGACCATCGCGTGCTTTCGCCAATAAATGTTGGGCCAGCAGATCATTTGCTCTAATGTCTCCACTGGTCGGGTTCATCGCCATTGAGTCAAACTGTGTGTTCTCTTCAAACACCAGATCTCGGGGTTTCATTAGCGGCCGGGCAGGGAGTTTCCGGTTCATCCGAACAGATTGCCCAGAGCTACCGTAATCGTCGATTATCGTCACTCGAATCAAAGTAATCTGATTATGACAATTCAAATGCTGACTGATGCTGTATAGGTAGGTATAAAACGATTGTGTATGACACACTCGGGAATGGGTGAGTTAAGATGAAGAGACTGATGTGGATGACGATGGAAGAAGAGAAGCAGAATGATTGCGCAGGCACCTGGGTATAGCAGTTGGGTAAGGTAGGTAGGTGACTGCCTAAACCAAAGCTGCCTACACCTAGGTAAACCAGTGGAGGCAGGACCTAGTTAGGTGCAGTCATGAAACTGGAAGGCACATGTGCCAGGAGTGGAAGGAACTGGTGGCAGGGGCTCATTGAAGATATCGCCAAGGATCAGATCAATTCCGTGTTCACCATCAGGGTACAAATTGATCTATACTACCTACTAAGGTACTTTTCAAGCGACTATCGTGTACTACTGCGATTAAAGAAAAGGAACGGGCGTAAACGATACTTATTCAAACTTCCCATGCCAAAGCGAGCGCTATATCCATGCACGTATACGTCAAGTGCCCTCATTAAACATTATTTCCCCCGTTGTCTCGCCAAACATTGTCATCCCCTATACCAAGTGTGCCATCCACACCTTGCAGAATAGGGCGTTCACTCTCCTGCGTCGACTGTGTGTCATCCGTAACAATTGGAGGTGGTGGCTCGTCGTAAATCCACGGTTGCGGGAGCCTGTGGCAGAATTAGTTTGTGGTAATGACGGGTTTCCGAGTGATACTTACGGAGCAACAAGGCTGGGGTTGTTGAACTGCATTCCCTTCTCCTTGTACTCATCCAATGTGCTTCCCCGGCGCAAAAGGGTTTGCGAAGGTCGAGCGGCATTCTCATCCTCGAATGCATCATCCATTGCAGCTGCATCGTCCGAGTCCTCGTTGGCCCTAATGGCACGGAGGGCAATGTACTTGGTCAAAGGCTCATATCGGCGCTTGATATAATAGGTGTACCAAATGGAAAACGGAATCAGCGGCAGGACGGAAACCGATTGAATAAAACCTTTAGACGCCGCGATCCGGCCCACCATGACGAGCTCAAAAACAAGCAAGCCAACGATGACGCGGTAGCATATTATTCTCCACGCGCCGCCGGTGGCATGTTGAGGTTGATCCATTGCGTAAAGTACCATGTACTTGAAGGTGAAATATCCAAGGATAAAATAAACCATTCCGACAAGTAGAATGAAGAAACCCCAGTTCAAAACACTGTATATGATGCACAGGTTGAACACGAGCAATGAGGTAGGCAAGAAGAAGCCATACTGGAAAACAGGAGGCTTCTTGAGCTCAAGAGCGTCGCGCGGTGTCTTGGATAGCCATTTGAGGAAAGGATAGAGGAACACGCTTCCTGCCTCGAGAATTCGGAAGGGCATGAGACCAATTCCCTGTAGCATAATGAAGCAAATGTAGAAGACTGAGAGGTCTCCCACGTCTTGGGCTATAGTTGCTGGGATCTTGCTTGTGTCCTTGACAAGGTTCTGCAACTCAGACCAAAATTGAATCCCAGTCTTCGAGATTGCGAAAACGAAGAAGGTATTGAAGAAGGTGAAAAAGTAGTTCTTGGAGATAACCGACAGCTCCACGTCGCCTTGTGAAATCATTCCTTGTTGGTTGGAGAGAAAATCGTACAAGTAAGGAACAGCAACGTTAAGAAGCGAGACAACCAGTGCCGGCAAACCATTCGATGCCAGAGAATAAATAATGGTGTGGTCTTTTAACCATCTAACCAGTGCAGGAGATACTTTTTCGATTGCACAAGGAGTCATTAAACCAGCTAGGAAAGCAGTCGGGGTAATGAAGACGAGGGTAACAATGATGATGACAGTCGTGACGGCCCAAGACTTGAGACGGCGAATGCCCCGAGGCGCGTACGTGTTTCTCCAAACAAGATCCGAGGGCGCTGGGGTTAGTTTTGTCAAAAGGCGACCCGGTCTAGGGTCGATGCGTGCCTGGATTGCCATTTGACACGACGCAACGGAGTCCATGGTAACGATCGCCATGTCCGTGGGTGCATACGACTTCTTGCGGGCCTCGGTGACCTGAGCATCTAACCTCCGAAGTCTTTCCTCGTAATAATCGATAGCGTCCACATTGCGGGATCGTAGGCCAAAAGTACCATAGCGTATGTTAACTTTAGGCCTTCCTTCGTCACCTGAATCCCAAGGCTCTTGCTCTGAATCGAGGAGGCGTCCATTTTCTCCAGCGTCTCCATTTGCTTCATCTTGACCAGTCTCTGAGACCTCGCGGTCGCGCCTTCGTTGGTGTCCGTTGTCTTTCCTCTTTTGCCGCTGGTGTTTAAGAAACGTGGCCCAGGCGCCCTCAAGGCATCTCAGTGCAGTGTCTCTCGCATCGACAAGGTCGTCAAGCTTCTTCCATTCCCGACAAATTAGAACCCTCTCGACAGTTCCAATTTCCAGCTTCTCGATCAGATTTTTTATGGCGTCTTCCGATCGTAAATCCTCCGGTATGCCTGTGAGGCGAAACGTCCTGTCTGTAACGGTAGATTGGGAACCGAGATAGTCTTGACGGAACTTGATAACGCGATGGGTTTCAAGGTTAAGATAGTATACGGTCAGCCCAACGAAGAAGTAGGTGAAGAAGACATAAGCCCACAGCCAAGTCTTTATCCAGCTCTGATCTGCCTTGTCCTTGCCCTTGAGCACATCGATGAAGCTCGCGTTTGAGAAGATGGTTTGATCCGATTCGTAAAATGCGTTGAGGTCGGGTGTTTTATCGCCGGAATCACCTTTCCCGGGTGAGAAGCCTTCATAGATGTGATTTATTGGTAAGAGTATAAGAGTCGCGAAACATGCCATGACAGCGAAGAGTCGAATTGCCATCTTGAAGAAGCTTAGGAACTGTATGCTGTCAGCATCTATTAGGCATTCTCGAAGAACCATTGAATCATACCACAAAGGCATCAAGTCCAGCAGAAGCCAAGACTTGCTCCTCAGTGATCTTATAAAGCGTAGGTATCCATCCAAAGGCGGAATTGGATAAGGTAGGTAGACCAAGCTGGTGGTCGAGACGACGTTTTCGCGCAGCATAGAGGGAAGGCCATCGTGGGCGTAAAAACTGTCAAGGGATCAGCACTGTGTATTATTTTGATTCAACTGCATGAGATAGCTCTGGAAAGGCATTGTCAGTCGAGTAGGGGGCAAACATACACAGAAGAGAAGGAAGGCCGAGACACCGATAGCCAGAGACAACACGAACTGGACCTCGGCGTTCTTCCCTAGATCAGGTTTGACTGCCGCATCTCCCGAGCAGTTTCCTTCATCAGACTTATCCCCCATGATCAAATTCATCTCGAGAGACATGATGATCGCTCGCAGATGAAGAGGTTGGCGTTTGATGGCGCGGGATGCAAGGCTGAGTCCATTCACGTTGCTTGTGGCGCCTGACGCATGAACCGATGACGTACGGAGACGGTGAGGAAGGACCCGCATAAGCTTCGCTTAGCTGGCTGAGTCAACGTTCATGCAAAGCAAATTGGCTACCCTAAAGCTACCTCCTACTCAATTGTAAGCCGCAACATCTCGATCTGTTTTGTTCCTAAAGCATGTTAACAATCTAACAGTGCGGTACATAATCAGCTACGGTAAAACCAAGCCATTATGGAGGCTTGCGTCAAAAGCATAGAGAGTGGAATTGGAAGACGTCTCAAGTTTCGGTGTGCCTTATCGGCTACTGGATAACGTTGCGCGCCACTTCCAGAGGTTCAGTCCAGACAATACAAATCGTTTGGAAATGCTGGTTGTCGAATCAGAAGGCATATCGGGATTTAGATCTTGAAAACTGGTAGACCAGGGTACGTTTACACAAACTCAAAGCAAACTCAAAGTACATGCTCCAGCAACAGTGCTCCCTGCTTTCATAAGAAGACAACCGGCCCTTTGAGACCCAGTCGAGACAGAGCTCCACAGCTTCTACCTACCATCGTTCTACAAAGGAGATCATCTCCTGATCTCAAACTTCAAGGAAGCCCAGAGTAAGCGCCGTAGAACTTCATTGCTGAAACAACTCAGATGAAAATCAAAATTGCGCAACTGGGAACAGTAGAGTCGTCTGCCACCCGGAGAAACTCACAGTATCCTTGTAGGAAGTACCACGAAGTTGTCTTGTTATGAAGAACAGAACAAGTATTCCTACCCAGATGAGTTAATTAATAAGTCTTCCTATTCGTTTCATAATTGGAGACTGAAAGGGGTCATCGGTTTGTGGTCTGCTAGTCAGTTTCGATTTCTATAAGAGATAGGACAAAGAGTATGATTTGAGATGCATGTGGGAGCCGAACGATGCGTACCTAGTCAATGCTTTGCCAAGCCCTCTCTGTCAAGTACTGTCGTCACATCCGTTGCCCAGACTTCTGGAAACCTTCTGGCAGACATGTTAGCTGCAGGCGAGCTTGGCAAGTTTAAAGAGGTTATAAGATGACGGCACCAGCGAACTGTAGTTTTTATTAAGGAGATCTACTTGTAGAACTAAGATTAGATGTCAAATAAAGAAGAGTAGACAGCGGATAATCAAGATATTGCTCTTCGTTCACGAGAACTTACACGGAATGAACTCCATATTGGAAGTCTAGTCCCAGGGCAGAAAGGCCCGAGCATCTCCGGTAGGTCTGTGCTTCCGGGTCCGGCTTCCAGGTTCCCATGAACCCTGTAGCCCTGCAACTCCGTTGGGAGATCTATTCTGCCGTGTCGGCCCTGATCGGCACGCAGATGATCCCACTAATGCAGCCGTTTGTCGCCACTTTTGAACTTGATGTTGGATGATGGGGTTCGTGACAATCTCACTTTGATCTCTATGGTCTCTTCGTATAGTATCAAGTCGTCTTAGAGTTATTGTCCGCCCGTGGTTTAGAATGATATCATTCTCCATTAAATCACTTCGTCAAGTTTACAAGTACGGCAAAGAGTCCGATGAAACGTCGATAGCTGGATTTCAACAAATAGGAATTGATAGAAACCACTAAAGGAGTGAACTGGCCATGATGTCTCCTTCTAGTAAGAGAACTGAGGAGGATGTGATCTTGTGTTGCTTGCTTAACATAGAAGTCTCCTAAAGATGCTATTTTCAAATGATTTTGCTCACACCTGTCTTGATCAGAGTATCAGGAATTGGATAGATGGGTAACTTGGCAAGAGAGGCAGTTGATCCATCTCTACCTAATTAGCATCTTGTATTCTATACCAAGCCAAAGGACTCATCATATGCCAGTTGAAAGATTTCAAGTCATGACTGGTTGTCAATGGGGAGTGGCTACCTAGACATATCCCCTGCTCTTGCCGTTATGAATAGAAAGGTTAGATTATCTGGGCCCCACGCCTGCTCGAACGATATTCCCAAATGGATGAAGCGATACACTTGGAGAGAGGAACCTCCTGGTACTGTAAAGAGGGAGAGAGGACAAGAGCATTGGCTCGAAACCGACTGCCTCACCACATGATTCCATAAGCCATCGATCCCGCCTCTTCCTTCCATCTCCACACCGGCTACCTCCAGTCCGCCTTCTCTGACCTCAGTACGGCAATGATCTTGAAAAGTTCCAAGTCAGACCATGTGGGACTAAGCTCAATGAATAGGATGCTTTGTCAAACTGGGTAGATACTCTCCACAGGGGACAACGCCTTGACGTTCACCGGAAACAACGCGCGTTTGCCTATTGGTTGGCAATGAGGTAAGTGGCTTTCTTGAGCGAACTTCTCAGATCAAAGTCTTGACCGTGAAAATAATAAGATATGTGGTTCGGACATGCTCTCAATCATGAGCGCCATCGGAGACGCCTCATGTCAACAGGGAAGAACGAGTGCGCAGTACCTAACAGAAGGTAACATCAGCTATTGCAGCGAAACAACCGCCGAATTTACCAACCAGGCAAGAACGCCTTTTCACACGATCTAATCTAATCTCTGTGGATCGATCATTCTTGGTAGCTCCAAAAGCCGCTAACAGACTCGTCCCTTAGGACCAAAGCGCCATCTTGAATCCACTGCGGCTCAGAGACGACAAACGAAAACCTTTTAGTTCGAGATCAACCCGAGGAAAGAGGTCATCGAGCTTATAGACTGGAACATGACGGGCGACTTGCCTCAGTGGGCCACGCAACAACCGTCAGAGTGCCGCAAAAGCGAAGCCATGGATATTTGTGAAAGCAGCGCGTCCAAGCCCATGACCTCCAAAGTCCGATGCCTTAAGGGTTTCGAGTCTCCGAATCGTGTTTGATGAATCCTTCTCGATTACCAAAATGGAGGCAAATTGAATGTCATGCCATGAATGCATTATGGTCAATTTCCCTCCCTTCACTTGGATCAGATAATGTTCAGGCCCACTGTTGAATCCTCCTTTATCGGATTATCTGATCAGATAAAAGAAACTACAGCGAGAATCCCTGCATCCCAAAAGACCCTCTGCTGCCGGTATTAATCTGTTTATGGTAAAGATCATCTGTAGGTTTTTCATCCTTGTTTGTTTTTTTCAACAGCAAGACAATTTTATTCCCTAACGACCGATGCTAGGGAAGGATTCTCATCCATCCTACCCACGCTGCTATGCAGTAAACACTCCACTTCATCCGCTCGACCTGCCAGTACCGTTACAATAACCATGAATCGATGGCTACTCCTGATGCTCCTTTACGGATTTTCACTCTAACAGATCACTTGGCATTAGTCCGACTCCCGAACCGGCGACTGGCGAGCTGATCCGGGACGGACCCAGTAACTCAACTCGTGCCATGCCCATGATTCTACGGACCCAGCAAGATAATCAACTTGACCCATATCGCATTGCCACTTGTGAAGAAGAAGAAGTGATGGACAGGTTCCTGCGACTTTTCTGGAGAATACAACATTGGGTATAAATCTCAGCGCTCAGCGTGCTGCTGAGTTACAGTTTGTCCTCTCCACCTCGACATTTAAAAGTATTGAGCGTCCAGCAAAGTGCGATACCCACCGTTGCATCTCTACTGTTCTTCTCGACTGTCTTGGCCATCCATTATCTTGAGGCCTTAAGGCTTAGACACTTTAACATGGCCGCTCCTATTAGCCCTGCCCAAGCCCAGGGCGATTTCGAAAAGCAGATCCAGGCCGAGAACCGCGTTATCAGTGACTTTCCCAATAAGGATAAGGAAAGCGACTCTGACGATGGCTCTGAGACAAAGCAAGATGGTGTCAAGCGTGTCGAGGCCATCACCAAAATCTGGTCTCCTGGTATGATGTGGGCTGTCTTCATCTTGTGAGTCGTTATCATTTCAGCTCAAGACTAAAAGAAACACGCTGACATCAGTAAGTCTTTACTTGGTCAACTTCGTGGATACACTTCTCCAGTCTGTTCATGCTAGTCTGGTGCCTTATGTGACCTCTTCATTCAACCAGCACGGCCTGTTGGCTATCACTAGCGTCTTCGGAAGCATCATTGCTGGAGTATCCAAGCTCGCAATTGCCAAAATCATCGATATCCGTGGACGCAATGAGGGTTTCATACTGATGATTCTCATTATCATTGTTGGAATGATCATGAAGGCTTGTTGCCAGAATGTTGAGACCTATGCCGCTGGACATACCTTCTACTGGGTTGGACACGTTGGTTTAAGCTACATCATCGATGTCGTCCTCTCTGACATGACCTCTCTCCGTAACCGCATGATCATGTTTGGTCTGTACATGAGCCCTCGGCTTGCTTCGACCTTCGGTGGCCCTACGATTGCCGACCTCTTCTACAAGCATTCGACCTACCGATGGGCTTTCGGCTCGTTTTGTATCATCCTTGTTTTCTTCTCAATCCCTGTATCGGCCATCTTTATGTGCCATGAGATCAAGGCCAAGAAGCTTGGATACCTGCCTGAGAAGAGCCAGCGCAGTGTTTGGGAATCTACCAAGCACTACGTTGTGGAGTTTGACGTTGTTGGTATGGTCCTTACCATTGCTGGCTTCTCTTTGATCCTGACCCCCCTCAACATTGCCACGAGAGCACCCAACGGCTGGAAGACTGGCTACATCATCGCTATGATCGTTGTCGGTGTTGTATGCCTCTTCGGGTTCGCTGCCTGGGAGAAGTGGTATGCCAAGGTCCCCTATGTTCCCTTCAAGTTTCTCAAGGACCGAACTATTTTGGGTGCTTGCCTTCTCAGCGCTTTCCTGAACATGTCTATCTTTGCCTGGGATACCTATTACAACTCGTATCTCCAGGTCGTTCACGGTCTCGGTATTGCTACCGCTGGATACACACTCAACGCCTTCTCTGTCACGTCGACCATTTTGGCACCATTCATCGGACTGTAAGTTCCACTACTACAGCAATTAGTCTTGACAAGTTTGCTAACATGATGTTTAGTTTCCTCCGTTGGTATGGAAGATACTACTGGCCTGCTGTATTCGGCATTCCTTGGTGTGTGCTTGGCACGGCGCTCCTCATTCACTTTCGACAACCTGGCAACGACATTGGGTACCTTGTCATGTGCCAGGTTTTCCACGGTGTTTGCGGTGGTATTTGGGCTATGACCGGACCTCTTGCCATCATGACCCAGGTCACTCATCAGGAGATTGCTGTCGTCCTCGCCCTCTACTCCATGTTTGGCTCCATCGGACAGGCCATCGGATTTGGAATATCAGGCGCTCTTTGGACCAACGATCTACCTACAGAGATATACAATGCCCTTCCTCAGGACGCCAAGAATCAGACTGCTGCTCTTTATGGCGACATGAAACTTCAGATGGCTGATCCTATTGGTACTCCTATCCGAGATGCTGTTGTTTACGCCTACGGCGTTGTCCAACGCGAGATGGTTATCGCTGGTTGCGCTTTCCTGCCTTTGATTTGTATTTGCGTTCTTGTCTGGCGTAACAAGCCCATCGACAAGCAGCAGACCAAGGGAAACGTCTTCTAGGCAATGCCACTGTCGCCAGCAGAGCAAAAGATATTTACTCCAAAAAGCATTTTTCCGACATGTATTCAAAAGTACTCTGTTTACGATACCATCATTCATTTTTAAAAATATAAATATAAATCTGTTATGTTTTCCCATGTCGTTTTTCAAGCCGGCCCAATCGCCCTCTCTGTGAATAAAATTGTATGAGTCCGAAGATTGTATCCTGGTCAATCTCGATGTCACTTCCCTAAGCCATGCACCGAGAAGATGCATCTAGAGGTATGCTGATATCATGCGTCAGTGATGAAGCCAAGTGCATTTCGTGCATGAAATGATGATAACCTCGATCCCATTATCAATGCGTTAATATACGGCTGTCAGCACCGATCCACGGCAAGTTGCATATATTGAAGGATACCCGCATCACACCTTTGTCTCGTGAGTTTGCCATCTCAATTGTCGTCCTGTCATAGGCACATGAACCGCCGGTGTAACCTTTCAAGCAATGGCGGAGCCGAAACATGTCGGTTGCTCGGCTTTGAGTCTCCTCTGCTTTTTTTGCAAACACTAGATTATGAGATATGATGTCTGACTTTCTCTGGCTGATTCGAGATGCAAGCAACCGCGCTCACAAGATCAATGACTGCTTGGCTTTGTGAAACATGCCGCACAATGCGACAGAGATGGTGATGAGAATCTGACTTTGGAGGAAGATGGATTATCAATCCAAGTCGCGACGGCAACTGGCAGTAGATCGACGGAAAGATGCAGACGGACATACCCACGGGATTTCGAGTCGTGGAAGAGCTCGTTCAAGCCTGTATCTTGACTACAAGCAATATGGTTACAAGAGAGTGGATTAAAACACCAGCGACGAGGCATGGCTGATAGAGATGAAGAAGCAAACGTCGCAATTCATCAGATGATAAACTCATTGTTAACTAGAGACCAGTTTTCGTCCCGAGTTTGTTGTTTCTTGAGTATCTGATCGAGAGATGAACTATGCTATTCACAACTACACATCATCTGCCAGTGTATAGCCACTCCCTGAACTGCCCATCAAACGAAATGGAATGATGTCTGTCATCTTGAAGCACACATGTCGGTCACATCTAGATGCATGTGCAATAGTCTGCATAGCCATCTGATCGTCCTTAAACTAGATGGTTGCCAGATGAATCACCGACGAAATGTCTTCAACCCTGATCCCAGATCTTCCCAGTGTAACCCATAGTAATGTTTTGCTGCTTGGAAACAAGCCAGCAAACAGTGTATGGTGTTTTCTGTTTGACTACTAGTCATGAGGATGTTGCGGTTGGTTTGGTCTAGAGTTTCATGAGAAGAGACTGCATCAGCTGCAGAGGCAATGGAACAAACGACAAAGGGACAAACGGCTCTTCAACTACTATAAATTGCATAGTCCTCCTCTCCTTGAAGTTATCATCGCAACTACACCACAAGATCATTAGCTCACTTTGACAAGATATCTCCTCTATCCCATTCATCTCAAGTAAGAACACCCAGTACTTCATCGCAACCTCAGCAGCATAGAGACCCTAAGCATATCCCAGACAAAACTACTTAGTACTTCATCTCAACCACAGCAACTCCACAGAGATCCTAAGCATATCTCATCCGAGGCAAGTCCATCAAAGACTACTCAGTACCTCATCGAACAAGACATCACCGTCACCTCATCTAAACATCCTCAATACCTCATCTTGCCAGACATCCTCGTCCCTCATCTAGACATCCTCAATACCTCATCTTGCCAGACATCCCCGTCACCTCATCTAGACGTTCTCAGTACTTCATCTGACCACAGCAACTCCACAGAGATCCTAAGCCATGCCTGAAAATACCAGTCAATCTGGCAATGGATCACTCGGCGGTTCGGGTGGTTCAAACCAACAGCCTCAAGGATCATCTGGCTTACAGACGCAGACAACTCAGACGACTCAGACTACTCAAACTACTCAGACCATTCAGTCAACAGTTGGGAACAACAACACTCCGATAGGACAAGATCTGCTGAGAGATCATCCTAACCAGAGCATCGATGCTCCGTCATGGACCATAGTCGGACCGGGTCGGGCTCTGTCGACTGCCATCGTGGACCCGGCGGACCCAGCTTATCTAGATGTTTCGGACGACGAAAAGGAGAAGGCGGAGGAAGACAAAGGGAAGGGACAAGATGACGGCAAAGGGAAGAAGCCAGAAACCAAGTAAACATGCGATCTCTACGAGCCCTCAAGGACGTCAACTGTACAGACGGATATAGGAACACCAAGAGACACCTTCACAGTTATCATGAACCAGATGACAGGACTTGATAAAACTGAGTTGGATCCCAAGGTGGCATAAATTTCTATGTAGAGACATTTAGCGTCTCATGGCACGATGTTTATTGATGAGTTGAGGGCTTAGGGGAAGATCAAGCTGCTTAGGAGGATCTTTGAATGCTGGTGACTTCGGACTATGGAGTATGGATTGTCGGTCAGCTCAGGATAGGAGATGATTTATTAGTTCGAGACATGTTTTATATTTATCATCCCGTTTCCGCAAAAAGCCTAATGTTAAAGCGACTGCTTATGTGTGAGTGAAATGATGATGTATTGCTTTCATCTAAGTGATCGGCTTTGGTATGAGATGAGATGAGGTCCTAAAATGTAGCTGTCTGGGCAAATCTTGGCAAATCTTGGTGTAGTGGATCAAGAACACAACCCCACTTACAGAGGATGACGAGCGATCAGCGGGTGATTGTTACAGTTACAGTGAAGATGAAAAGAAAGAAAAAGAAGAAGAAAAGAAGATCGGCCCTGGGTTGTCCAAGCTCAAACTGGACAATAAGCAGTAGAAGAGTCTAAATGATCCGTGTACTTGTCATTCGTCGTCATTGTCATCCATAAGATATTGCATTAACTGCCAAGCATTAAGCACAACTTTCTCGTATTCTCTTTTTTCATGTTGAGTTGTGGTGTATTACTAGAATATTACTGTACCACATCAGCACAGCTGAGAATGGCAGCTGTGAAGCCGACGATAGAATGTGACTGTGATTCTTGGCAGGGGTCGTCCACGATAGTCTAAGAAAAGACAATTGACCTTCCAGTTTCTGATAGACTCGATAAAATGCCGTTTCTTTGTTGGGACTGAACTTCAGATGGAGAAAATCGAGGCACTCGTTCTCGGAAATTGCAATGACGGAAAAATCCAAGATGAGCCAATTGAGGCAAGGATTCGAGTGGGGGGATGAACTATTTCAGGCACGCAGCTCCGCTTACTGGTCTGGTCTGGGCTGTCAGGGCTGTCAGGCTGTGCCTCTGCTATGCTCACTAAAATGGGGACCTCTTCGGGCGACTCCAGCGCTTCTACCGCTGTAAAGTAAACAATTAATACAGGCGAGTATTCATATCATATAACTGAAAGAAGATGAAAGAATCTATATTCCGTATCCGTATACCAATGCTCATGTCACTCAGATACTGTACGAGGTTGCACACAGAGAGGATACTTCTTCTACCTTAAATTTTGTTCTGTATCTTATGTGATACAGTCAGGGTGAGGACACGCTGAAACTGAGACGCACTCAGACGTTTTACCGCGTAAGGGACTGGAAAAGAGCGGACGGAAACAAAACAAATAAGACATCCAGTGCAAACGCAAAAGGGGGCAGAAATCATCACCAATATGAATGGTTCTAATATGCGAGATAACGTTTCGAGTACATAGTACAAAAACAAAAGTCTTGTCCAGACCGCAGCGCCAAGGCCAGGCCATTGGATTCGGTCTTTTGACCGCGTGACACCATCCATGACCTTGACCATGGCCATAAACCTGGATCGAGATAATAGCGGTACATGGACCCCATGTACCGAAACCATTGTCAGATGCCGTCCGGCCTTCCCGTATATACCTGGAGCTCAAGTCCCTTGGCGTCCTTTTCTTAGTTCCAATGGTTCAACTCGTACAGCACGGTACTGGCGGTACGGCAGGCCTGGGCATGCATTATCACTGGTTGATAAACAACCGCCCAGAGTAATCGTACGCGTATGTATGTATTTCCAAGGTTTCCTAGCTTTTGCATGTACTGTATGTAGGTGGTGTCTTCCCTTGCAGATCATCAGATCAGTCAACAACTGCAGATTCATTTCTCTTGCATTCCCCATCGTTGGCAGGTCATTTCGTATCCAAATTCCAATTCCTCTTCTTTGTCTCCCTCTTTCGCTTCCAGCATTAGTTCTCTTTAGCCAAGACTAGCCGATTAGACGCAAAGAAAAAAAAAAAGTCTCCAAAAGACGAGACAATTGCCTCCACCGTTCAAACGACCCTGGCTCGTGGCCCCGGTGCTGGTTCGTTCAGGTAGTTCAGTGAGTGATCCGCCCCAATTTTTCCCCAGCTGCAGGCTCTTGTGCGCTGAAAATACGTTTCGGCCAGTCGGGGCAGTCGCCCATTCACCTGCAGCTGTACCTCTGGGCTGCCCACCCACTTCTTTTTCCATGCCCACCCCAGCCATTTGTATTGCATCTGTCGGGTCTATCGTCAACAAAGAATTCAATTCTTTTCCCCTCTGAACATACACTCAACCACCTACCTACATACAGTGTCGTCTGACTTTCGTTATCTCTCAGTATTTCTCTTGGACTAAAACCAACTTCACCACCCACAGGAACAAATCAACGAGGTTGGGCACACGTACTCTTGTTTATTCTCTCTTCCCCAAGTGGCTTGGGTGACGACACGACTCTTCAATAGCGCACGCAAGCCAGCCTTGGCTTTTCTGGAACCTGACAACAGCGGACAAGACAAGAGCAAGACGGGCCAAGCCAAGCCTTGCCTCCCTCCAGGTCCTTGCTTGGTGTACCCAACTCTATTCCTCGCTACGCTGTACTGTACATCCATACATACAAAGGACTGGACCGTCCGCCCCGGTGGAACCGACACAACCTTAACCGTCCCGTCGTCTTTCGTTTTGCATTGATTTACATCTTCCATCATCACATCGCATTACCTTCACGACTCGTCGCTCGTTTTTTGGTCTCGTCTCCCCGACCCGGGTCTTCTACTAACCTTTAATACACAGTCACAATGGGTGCGTCATCATTCACATCCCAGCAACTTCGAATCCCCTCATACTAACATGCGACTTTCACAGCCGATCAAGGAGGAGCCGGAGCTGGTGCCCAAGCCGGAGCCCCAGTAACTACCATCGTCCCTTTCAACAACCAGCAAGTCCTTCCGGCTTGCGCTGCCGCCTGTGGTCCCCTATACGATGCCAACGGTGCTTGTGTTCCGCCTCAAGTAGCCGCCGACGGTGGCGCCAAGGCCTACACATCATGTTTCTGTCTCGACCAGCGAGTTGCCGCTTTCAAGACCGCTACCCAGGGTGTTTGCGATGAAGCTTGTGGCGCAGAGGGTCTTTCATCGATCGCTGGCTGGTTCCGCAGCATGTGTGGTACTGCGACAAAGACGAATGGAGGCTCAACACAACAAACTCAGGGCTCGGCTACGACGGGCACAGGATCTTCATCCACTGGTGGTTCAAGGCTTGCCAACCAAGACGGTGGTGGTGATTGGTACGTCGATGACTTCTTCACAAAAGTCTTGTGACATGCTCTAACATGGAAATAGGATCTCAAACCACTGGCAGTGGGTCATCATGATCGTCGTTCTCGTTGTCGGTATCACCGCCATCTGGGTCGGTGCCTGTATCTGGCGTCGCCGTTACCTTAAGAAGAAGGATCGCCAATCTCATCTCATCCAGAAGCACTCTGGGTCCGCTTCACGACCATCCTGGGGTCCCGGCATGGAGGCCTCTGAATCTGGCGGCATTCCCTACGACGACGAATCGAACCGAAACTCGCACGGCCTCATGCTCCCCGGTGCCGCCGCCGGTGCCCCCGTCGAAGAGGAGCCAAAGGAGAAGAAGCGATGGATCGTTCGCGACCGAACATGATGAGGGCCACCATCACCATGTTTTGACGTTAACGCCTTTTTCCGACTCGTAACGATTCTCCTTGCAACATCCCCAGTACCGACCGAAAACAAAATTTCACCTATTATCCGCCTTACGATATAAACCGCGCATTTACCATTCATACGGCCTCGCTCTATTTGATATTATCGGCTACTACAATTCTTTTTCTGGGTGGATTATACCCAGTATTTGATGATGGACTCGCGAGTGCATGGCTCTGTCGACCAGAAACTGCAACGGTTGAGAAACACCGCTTGCAACGTTTCTGTAACTCAGTCAACGCTTTCATTGCGTCATCTTTGCTGTCACCCCCACGGCGTTCTTGTTCTTCGGGTACACACAGGCGTTTGAAGGAAATAAGATGGGCGGGCGTGTTTTAATGATTTGTTCTTGATTTGTTTTTTGGTGAAGGCTATCACAGAGCTTTGCAATTCGTGCATGTATGGGTATGTCCAAGGAAACATTGGCGATTGCAACTGCAGCGATGGAGGAAAACGAAGTTTTTGGCATGTTTCTTATCTAGAACCAGAACGGAAACACTCTGGTTATTTATTTGGCATATTTATTACTTGCGTGTTCCTGGGCAAAAGAGGAGGTATGGAGTCTATCCTTGATAACAGCATATATAACAAATTCACCACAAGCGAAATCTTCAACTCGCAATTACTTCAACTTTTCTTCCTTGGCACTATGACTCGCATGTTTGTTTGATCGAGTGAAGGATTCCTTCCCGCTTCTGCAAGGATGTTGATGTCACATCCAACAGTTTAGTGTAGGATTCAAATGACGTCGCCGGTAACGATTCACGTTTCAACGGCGTGTTTGATAAACAATGAGGCTCAACCAAATGTATACAAACGCTTAAAAATGCTTGTTATTAACCTAATCAGGAGAATGCTTGCTAGTTCATGCATGGTATTGTATGTGTGCGATTCAAGCCCACGCCCGAGTCCCAGGTCTCATCATCCTATCCTTCTCTTGAAACAGCTCTACGCCGCATTCTGTTCTTCCACGGCATCCATATACAAATCAATTAGACAACCAGCCGACCAAGCTTGTGTAGGGCTCTGTAACATTGTTAGTATTCATCATGAGCAGAGCTAGGATAGATAGTCACTTACCGAGTCAGCGCAGTATTCGCCGTTCTTCTGTGTCAACTCCTGAAGACCAGCCCAGGGGCTCTCCTGGATCATCTTCTTGCATCCACCAAGTCTTCTGGTGACCTGCTGGAACGCCTCGGTGCGACCTTCGGTAGTTGTTCTTCTCTTCAAGTCGAACTTGAGCAGGGCTCGGAGGAAGAATCCAGTAGGCCAGATCCACTCAGGTCCCTGGTGGTAGTTGCGGCCCTTGCTTGTTGCAAAGTCATCACTATCTTCACTGTTGACATAGTAGGGACGGTAGTTGAGATCCGCAGGGTCCAAAGTCGCCATTCCTTGAGGTCCTCGGAGTGCCTCATCGGCAACACACAGAGCGTGCATCGCGTGTTCAGGATCAAAGAGGCCCGGTGCAGTGGTCATAGCAATGGCAAAGTTGGGACGTAGCTGGTAATCCTCATACTCCTTGCCAGACTTGTACAAATCTTTGTAGATTCCACGGCGGTTGACGATGGGGGTGTTGACGTCGTACTTGGAGTCATCATCGGGCGAGATAGGAACATAGTAGCAGCGCTCGAAGTTGTCCTTGAGTAGACTGGCCCAGTCGCTAAGCGAGATAGAGCCACCGTCGGGTTTCTCAACACCTGCGTACGCATACTTTCCTTGACCGTGGAGACCAGCAAGCCAGTCCAGAGTGCTGTATAGCATACCAGTGATCTCAATGGCAGCACCATCACGAGGAGTACCAGGAACACCCTTAGAGCCTGCTCGCTCGCTCTCACCCATCTTGTCCATCCAGGTACCACAGTTGTGTTGATTGCCACCAAAGATGATACCGTTGCTCCAGTCAACATGGATCTCCTGGTTGAAGCCTTCGTCCTTCATTTGCGAATCAATTTGGGGACCAGCGTTGGCCTCCCGGTATTTCATTCCAGAAGCATGTCTTTGGAGCGCTTCTTGGATCACTTCCTCAATGGTGCTCTCCTTGGAGTATGCCCTCTCGTCACTGGTAGGGAACCAAGTATCGTCGTAAGGGAGGAAACGACGCTTGACCTTAGCCTTAAGGATGTCAAGACCCTCAGGAGCAAAGCGTGTGTAGTCCTGGATACACTGAAGGAAGAACCAGATAGAATCGCGAGAGTTGTATCTGGGAGCATCACCACTGCTGAGAAGGTTGGGAATCATGCCGTGCTTCAACACGCTAGCAAACGCAAGAATGTGTTCCTTGGCGTCATCGAAACGGCCAGTGCCGAGAAGAAGGCCACGGAGGGCGATGAACACATCTCGACCCCAGCATCTGGCCCATTCAACAGCGAAATGGGGAAGGCCAGCGGCCAAGGAAGGAACCAGCTTATTGGGCCACAAAGATGCCGACTTGACATAGCCGACCTGTTGAACACTGACCATAGCTAAGCTTTGGAGGAACCACTGACCGTCTCGCACGCTGGCATTCATGAGCTCTAGAGACCTTTCCCAGCTTGCCGTGTAAGCAGTGCGCAAGACAAGACCAAAGTATCGCGGAAGCAGGAAGCTGGGGATCTTTCGAATCGCATCAAATCGCTCTTGTAGCCACCTCAAAGGTCCTGCAAGGGCCTCATTTCCGGGGGTGGCACTGATTCGTTGCAATCTGGCCAGAATGAAATCCAAAGCCCATTCACCGTCACGAAGGTTCTGGCACAACGGATGAGCCAGGTTGTTCTCCTTGATGATGTTCTTGAGAATACTCCACCATCCCTGGAGACCAGCGTAAACAAGCTTTCCATGCCCGGGGATATCGTAAACGCCGTCTTGTCCGTCGCTCTCAGCTCGCTCTTCGGCTTCACATCTGTACATCAAGAAGTTGAGATCAGACAAGCTGAGTTCACTCCATGCAGCCTTGGCACCTGAGGTGACATAGTTGTCCAGACCAGAGGAATGTTCGGCCGCAGGGATCCAGGTCTCGAATAGGGCGATACTTCCTGGGGGAAACTTGTCACGCACAGTAATAGTGGTGTCATCGCCGTTGACTTCCATTCGGATACCAGGTACATCCTTGACTCGACTAGGCAAGCCGCGCAGATACTTCTTGTCGTCAAGCGCCTGTTTCGTCGCCTCCTCGCCGGCATCAACTTCGAGCATCCAGCTGCCCAGGTGTCGAGCCTTGGTACCAGTAAGATGAACGGGGCTAAAGTCGCCGTTTCCGTTGCCATAGCCTGGGAAGGCAGTGTGCGCGATGAGGAAGTAACCCTTACGAGATTCGGGGTGCACTCGGTGAACAGTAATGTACTGGTCCTCATGATGGATGTGAGTCTCATCGTACTCGTCCTTACCCATCAGGGTGTGGATTTGGTTGAGAAGCTTCTTGACACCACCAATACCGTCCTCGCCGCCTCCTATCTTGATCGGCTTCGATCCGGAAGAGGCAGATGTATATAGTCGAGTCTCGTTGACCAAGTCCACAAGCTTGGGGTAGATCTCATCGTAACCCATAACACTTCCAGTAGCACTGGAGCACATGCAGACAAGAGCAGCGTTGGGCAAAGTGTCACGAGCGTCACGCTTCTGTGCTGGCGTCTCATTGTCGTGGGTGCAGTCCATGAAAAGAGCATGGACAGGACTGGGCTTGATTGTTCGGATAATTTCTCTGGATCGCAGTCCGTTTCCGTTGGTGTCTCCATTCTCTCCATTCTTGAGTCTTGTCGGGCTGCTTGACGGTGTGCGGACGTCCGACTTGGAGACTTCATCGACCTCGAAGCTTCCAATAGGTCGGCCACCGTGCCTGTGCACAAGTCGGCTGAGCTCGGCTGTGCTCCATGCCTGCATGGCTTCGCGGATGAGTGAGCTGAGGCCGAGACGCTTCACAAAGACGTAATCCATCTCCTCAGACCCAGTGAATAATTCAGCGACTACATATAGGTCAGGTCGCACCCGACGCGCCTCGTCAAGAATGTGTTCGGCAACGTGGATAGGAGTAGAATGGCAGTTATCAATGCGAAGACCGGCAAAGTACTTGGCGAGTGTACGAGCATACTTGGTCATGTGCTCCCACAACCAGGGGTTGTCTTCAGGTCCTGAACCGTATCGCAACTTGACACAATCGCCCCAGACGATAACTTCTCGGCGAAGGTAGACCCTTGATTCGGGGCCTGCATTGTCGATCAGTGCATTACCACCCCAAACCCATCCGTTGTTGGCCAACGCCATCTCCTCGGGCTTAAGCTTGGAAGTGGTATCATTCTTAGGCAGTCGCGTGAAGTAAGACTCGATCAGTGGGTTCTCCTTGTTGATCTCACCAAGCTTGGGGCCATGGTCATCGAGTCGGACATACTTAATCCTGTTGAAGATCTGCTGAAGTATATCGTCTACTTCGGCATCATACTCCTTATAGAAGTCCACATTGAGGATATCCAGAATCTCGACGATCTTGGCCCTTGCAGCGTTCTCGTCAGAAGAACCTGCCAAGAAGCTCGCGGCTACCTCAGGGTTCACGCGCCTGCGGAAACGCTCGCCCATTCGGTCGGTGCCAGTCATACCAACCTCCCTGAAGAAATTGACCTGCTCCTTAACGGATGCAGATTTGGCGCTCTCCAACTTCTTCTCGAAATCCGAGGCGTCCTCAGAGCTATATTTGCTTCCCTGCGAGAAGGCCTTGACTGCCTCGTCGGCATCCCGGTCAACGTCGAGCGCATAGTATTCCCATAGCCTTATCTTGGCGAGGACCTCGGTCTTGATGGCGTTCATGATAAGCACCAGATCATCTGTAGACTTGACTTCAGTGGGAAGTCCGAGCTTGGCCAAGTTGTCGCTCAGCTCCAGGAGACTTGTGTCGAGTTGGTAAGCTGACTCGAGCCATGGGGCTGTTATCAAGTTGTAACCGGCTTCGGGGTGTTCCTCAAGCCATTTTGTATTGTTGGCTGTGTGGTTCAACACAATATCTGTCAAGCTCAGCAAGGAGTGGTTGCGTTCAAGACTGTCCACCATCTTCTGCACATCCTCCTCGCCTGCAGGGAAGCATTCAGGGTCCCAACCGAGCTGGTCATACAAGCTGTATGGAGAGTTGGACACTCCGCGCACTTGAAGAGGAGTAAAGTGAATCATGTTGTAACCGCGATCACTGATACCGTGGAGGTGGCGCTCCCAGTCATTGGGGTATTTGCCCATAAACTTGCTAATGACGGAGAAGATTGACAGCGCAGGCAGCGGCAAGGGCCGGCCATCAAGCTTGAGCCTAGGCGCAACATCGATGTAGTAAAGAGGAGTCTTTTTGAGGTTATTCTTTTGTTCAGAGCTGTTTTCTAGCTCCTTCTTGAGATCAGGTAGCTCAGCGTAGGTAGTGTAGAAGGCATAGGCGCCAGGTTGATAAATGGGAATGGAGATTTCGAGTGTGCGATTGAAATCGGGTGTAAGTCTGTGGTGCGTCGGTGTCAGTTAATCTTGCGCTTTTCTTTAAGCCGTTCAAACGGTCTTTGTAACTTCGAAAGTAATCAATTGGGCCAGAAACAGGTTCAAAACTTACTTGAACTCGCGAAAATGATCGCGACGGAACTCGGCGCCTTCATCGGGGATGTTGACCCAGAGGCTGCCATGACGGCAAATGGACGAGGTGCCCTCAATGGCAAAGCGAACGGTCACAGGCTCGTGAGACCTGGGGGCTAGATAGATGTATTCGCCCTGCACCTGAGGTGAGCCATCATCGTTGAGCGGCAGCAAATAAACCTCGTTGGATGTCATGGTGTGCGGTGGGCTCATGATGAGAGAAGAGAAGAGCGGGAGCTGCGTGCCCCGCGAAACGATAAAGGCAGTCGCTCAGCTCGCTCAATCAGTCAGGCCCCAAACACTGAGACGGCAGTAACCAAGGAAGCGCTGTACACTACGCAACGTGCCTGTCGCAGTGGAGCTATCGATCGATGGCTAACGGCTCGCGTCCGCAGTAGGTAAGTTAACTTAGTGGGGGCCCCGGAGCTCAAGGACCTCTGTAGGCGCAGCTTGTGTCGTTTTTAGTGGGCTCGTTCGGTTCGGTCCAGGGATCTGGGATCTGGGTTATCGAGCGGGATCGACGACCAGAGCGAGCGACAGGAGGGATGGAGTATCCCAGAGATAAGGGAGGATGGAAAAGGACTCGAATCGGTTGTCGGGGTAGGTTAGAGCACGACTAAATAAGGGAGAGAAGTGTAAGAGAATGTGTCTAGGAATAAATAGTCTGAGGCACAGGTAGAAGCAATATTTTGGGAAAGAAGGTGACAAGAGAGACTGAAGTCTGGGGTTGACGAGGTGAGGAAGAGACAGGGACAAGACAGAGCAGGAACGAAGGAAAAGGACTTCGTTTACGCCTGAGAAAAAAAGAAGAAAGAAGAATTAAAGAAGAATAAAAAGCAAACAGCCCAGCTCATCATAAACAAGCCATTTTCATGTAACCGAATTTGGACAGCTCAACAAGTGGTTAAGTGCCATCTTAGTACATACGGTTGAGCTACACCACAATCAATGATAGCACAAAAATTCTACTCTATTCCATTGTATCCCATCCTATTCTGTCCCGACCTGTCGGATCCTTTGGAAGTCAAATATCATCATTCGGCCTTGGATATGTCTTTAGCGGTCAAGACGGGGAACAAGGTTGGATGTCCGGGAGTATCGGCTTTTGCTATTCCAAGATGTTGTTCCTGGTAGCTTCTGAGGGTTGCATGAAGCTCAAGAGCTACATAGTACTACTACTGTACTCAGTGGGCGAGGGGTCAGCCAACAACAACAATGAACAAATCACGCACAGCCAACAGAAGACCAAGCAAGCAATTGGCTTTTTCTACGATATGGCAACCATGATGTTCCTGGCTTAGCTCAACAAGGTCTTGAATATCCAGACAATAGGATACGAGTAGAGACGCTGTGCCTTGGACGGAGTTGGCCTAGCTTTAAACGTTTCCGAGCCAAAGCCATGATGTGGTCTATCCCGGCGCCGCCAGACCAAGCCAAGCCAAGCCAGAGGAAGCTTCGCAAGGCATGAAGAGGAGGGAGGGAGGAATCTTCCGAGTGCGGCTCTTTTTTTTTTTTCCTTTAGTCTTGATGAGGAATTGATTGACAGGTCCAAAGATTGAGTGGTTTCTTCACCGATAAGTCACCTATTTGAATATACATATTTGAGATGGCAATGGATCTGCCGACATTGGGTTCTTTAGACTCAATTCACATGCTTTAAACTATTGATTCTTGACCTACGTCATTGAAGTGCAATCCAAAATTTTCCCCATGGATTAGACCCAGCATCACCCCCAAATCAATGTCAATGCCCCGCTCCGAATGTCGAGATGACGGGGCGCTAATTCACTCTAATGCTTGGAGTTGTGTTTTAGACCAACGCTCGGAGCTTCTTGTGCCTTGATCGGCGAGCCTCAAGCTTTTTCTTTTTCTTTCTGGGGACAGAAATGAATTAAAAATTCTATCTTATCCAACTACCGATAACGACTGCAATTGACCGCTCAATCATAGGCCAAGCCTCGAGTCATGCAGTAAGAAATACTACTACATACGATACATGCATACTCAGTAAGTACATGCATGATCTGATCCGTCAGACAATCAACGTTTCTGTACAACACAAGCATCACACACAGACACCTCCACTGTAATGGATCCATGCTTCCATGGAGACAGACTTGGAGAGTTGGAGACATTTGAGTCTAGACCAACCTCGCTTGTCGATCCTTCTCCACCGAGGGGATTTTCTAAGCGAATAATCTACCCTGTATCACTCACAACGCAAAACGAGACAAATACAAGACAAGAGACGATATTCAAGAATTTTGGTGTCGGTGTCAGTTTTCAAGCTTCGAAAGTATGTGACATTGCAATGAAGTCTCAGTGCTACCGACACAGAAGTGCTGCGTGGTCCTCTTGATGAACGGCTTCGCACGAAGTTTGAGGAAGATGCACCAACCAACACACAAAATGGTATATTGGAGTAAGACTTCTTGAAAGCCAATGATGGAGCATGACGCCGCTATTACTCCATTCAACATTTCCCATTGTCTTTAAACTTGGCTCGATTATTCCAAATGAAACCGGTCACATCCGTGTTCTCAAGCCTGCTCTGAAGTTACCTGCTCTTCTCGACAGTCTAAACTTTAACTTTAAGATTCTTACTACCTGCCTATCCGACTATCCAACACGTAGACATAAGTTTACTGTACTGTGAATATCTATGGATTCTTAAATCGTTTGGATTCGAGAGACAGAGCTGACCTTCTTGCGACATGTGCTAATTGGAACCTCTGGACAAGTTATAATACGTAGCATACCCAACTCTCAGGACCACGGTTCAAGTTTAACTTGGTTAAGGTTCTGGAATTGTATGGCAGCGTATGCTGGAGTTACTTGCTACGAATGGATGCTGTAAACTGACGCCTCCCGCACACGTTAAAAGGATCAAGGTACCGGTATTTCGTGTCCCTTATGCGCCGTGTGGTGGTTTAGATCCCCCGTACCCAGAAGTAAGAACTACAGTCTCAAAGTTACACTTACCGAGATTTCTCAATAACAAAAAAACCGATACAACCTGAAGATCTTGCGTGTAAGTGCTTGGGTGAACACTCAATCCTCACCGCCTGCCGCATATGATAACGACGCCATCGCGAGCGGCAGAATTTCTTAAATTTTAGCTCGCCTTTAACCACAAGCTCTGAAACCATGCAAAATTTGCCCAAGCAACACGCTTATATGCTTCGCAGAGCTGCTTGGAGATCAAGGTCGAACTTTGGCGCCGGTGCGATCGCGAACCTTACGACTCGTCTATCGAGAACCCCGATCCTTTCTTCAAATCGCGACCACCGAATCTTTTGCGACAAACCCACTGCGCATCGCCAATTTTCGACTACCACGATCAAAATGGCGGCCGAAAATGTTAGCACGGATACCGTGACCTTCGAGGGAAAGGAGTTCAGGACTGTTACGGAGGGAAAGGCGACAATTCTGGTCCCGCAGGGTGCTAAGATTGGTGAAGATCGCGGGGAGGTTCAGCAGGTCTTCTACAACCCCATTCAGCAGTACAATCGCGATCTGTCCGTGCTTGCCATTAAGACATACGGAGAGATGTCCCTAGAGAAGAGAAAGGAACAATATGAGTCAAGGATGAAGAAGCAGGGCAAGAAGAGAAAGCGCGGCGATGATGTTCAAAAGCCCACCGAGAATGGTGCGAACCCCCCACCACAGGATGAGCCGCAAGCGACCGAAGAAGCTGCAAAGCCTGCCGATGCCGAAACCGCTCAACCAAAGAAGGAGTATAAGCCCTCTTTCCGCATTCTGGACGCCCTCTCTGCATCAGGCCTCCGAGCCCTCCGATACGCTCACGAGCTACCATTCGTCACCTCTGTCAAGGCCAACGATTTGTCAGATACAGCTGCAGAGTCCATCAGGATGAATGCCAAGCACAACGGACTTGAGGACAAGATTACTGTTACCCAAGGCGATGCGCTTGCGCTCATGTACCGTGGAATTGCGGATGATCTATCGAACAGGGATAAGGCAGGAAGTCCAGGCAAGGCCAACAAATTTGATGTTATCGATCTTGACCCTTACGGTACCGCTGCGCCCTTCTTTGACGCTGCTGTGCAGTCCGTGAAAGATGATGGTGGTCTACTTTGTATCACTTGCACGGATAGTGCGGTGTGGGCAGGACACAGCTACTGCGAGAAGACATTCGCGCTGTATGGCGGAATTCCTATCAAGGGCATGCACTCTCACGAGGCTGGTCTACGACTTGTTTTGAACGCCGTGGCCACCTCTGCGGCCCGTTATGGCTTGACGATAGAGCCTCTCCTCTCGCTCTCCATCGACTTCTACACCAAGTTCTTCATCAAGGTGGTCAAGTCGCCCCAATCGGTCAAGTTCCTTGCTTCTAAGACCATGCTGGTGTACAGTTGCGACGCTGGTTGCGGTGCTTGGGAAACACAGCACATGTTGAGAAGCAAACCTTCTCCTAATAAGAAGGGCAGCGGTGCCTTTTACAAGCATACTATGGCACAAGGTCCTTCCGCCGACAGACATTGCGAGCACTGCGGACTGAAGATGCACATCAATGGTCCTATGTATGGTGGACACATCCATTCTCAAGAGTTTATCGAGAGACTCCTCGAGCAGATCCCTAGGGCCGATCGTTCCATTTACGGTACGATGCCCAGACTTGAGGGTATGCTGCGAACAGCTCTCGAGGAGAACCTACCAGGCCCTGAGGTCAAGGAACCCGTGGACCCTAAGGATGCTCAGCTTGCAGCTATCGACAACTACCCCTTCTTTATTATCCCCAGTCGCTTGGCCAATGTAGTGAGCTGCGTGACACCCAGCGAGGATATGGTTCGAGGAGCCTTGATTCATTTGGGTTACCGTACCGCCAGAAGTCACTGCCGACCTGGCAGCATCAAGACAGACGCTCCTTGGTCTACAATCTGGTGGATCATCACAGAATGGATCCGTCAGAAGTCACCCATCAAGGAATCCAGCATCAAGAAAAACTCGGCAGCATGGAAGATTCTGACTGATGCTGGAATTATCGGACAAGAGAAGCCCGAGACTGTCGAAGAGGCACCTAAAGATGACTCTGCAATGGAAGGCGTGGAACAAGAAACTCTCGCTGAACCCGCCGCAGCTCCTTCTGCAAACGCGCCAAACGGAGAAGATAACGCTGTTCTCAGCGAAATGGAGCTACGCAAGACTCTTGTTTTTGACGAGAGCCTGGCACGCCTTGCGCGCAGAAAGGGAGAGCAGAAGTTGGTGCGATACCAGATGAACCCAAGAGAAAACTGGGGTCCTCTGGCCAAGGCAGCCCGCCGATGATAACGTAAATTTGGGTCATACACTTAATCTAAATATTTGCTTCATCCCATCGGCTAAAAGCGATCCTTCAGGAGTTGGATTGATGGTGCAGGATTAGGTATTGTGCTTTGGTTACCATTATCTTTTGGTAAGCAGAAGCCCCACCAAGGCCGAGAGAAGGATCGTTGAGGGCTTTTGAACTTGGATTGTTCATCATCTCGAAATTCACAGCCCGAGTTCATCACACACTCAGCCGAACGAATACTGTTGATTGTCGTTCCTGGCGGGAAATTTTGTTGCATTTGTTTACCTCGCACATATTTATGATTGGCACTGCGCCAGATAACAATAAAGATACCACATACTACATCCATCTTCCGTCTACATCTATCCTTGACTCTTAGAACTCCATATAATATCCTCTGAGACGGCATCTTTCCGCTCAACTAAAATGACCGAAGTCGAAAACGTGTCAGTCACCGAGGGGAACCTCACATGGACCAGTACCGGGGCATCCGACAAGGCTTCTCTCCATGAGCTCGTATTAGTTCGAGAGGTCAAATCAAGCACAGAGTCCCCTTCGCATTATCTCCTCTTCCTGCTCAAGGAGGATCAGGACAACAAGGAGTCTCCGTATCGACTATCAATTTTGAAAGCCAAGGAAATTCCCTCAGAACTTCACAGCATTACTCTGACTGAACTCCCCCCTCATCTGAAGCACGGTTCTGCCAACGAGCATGGTGTCACGAACCAGGTGGATGTCATCATCTCTGTTAAATCTGGAGTAGGACAGGCTCTGAAAGCATGGGAAGGAGTCCTGCAGCCCCTTTGGAAAATGCTTGCAGACACAGAAAACCCGCAATACCGTCTCATTCATACAGAGAGTGAAGAGACCATTCGAGACTATGCACGGAAACTGTGGGCCTCAGAAGAGCGATCGAAAGCGAGGATAATCGTGCTTCTTAGCGGAGACGGAGGTGTCGTAGACCTTCTCAACGGCTCTGATGGAAACGAGGTCCCTGATATCCCACCTACGATTGCGCTGCTTCCTCTCGGTACAGGAAATGCTCTCTTTCACTCAACCCATAAGCCTTTATACTCTGAACCGGGCCCAAGTCCACTTGTCGTTGGACTTCGAACACTGTTTCAGGGAGTCAGTGCCGATCTTCCTGTATTCCGAGCATCGTTCTCCTCAGGATCACGAATCGTCAAGTTTACGGACAAGACCAAAGGAGAGGCCCCAATCAAAGACCCAAACCAGATTCAGAAGGAGGAAGTTTCCATCACACACCTCCAGGGAGCTATCGTCGCCAGCTACGGTTTTCATGCAAGTATCGTTTATGAGAGTGACACTCCTGAGTACCGTGTCCACGGCGATAAACGGTTTGGTATGGTCGCTGGAGAACTTCTCAAAGAGTCTCATCCATATGCTGCAAAGGTTTCTGTCCGCCACCCTGGTTCTGGCACCTTTGAGGACATCCCTCGTGAGAAGCATGCCTATGTCCTCACTTCTCTCGTATCAAATCTCGAGCGAACATTCACAATATCACCAGCCACTAAACCCTTGCAATCACAGCTTCGTCTAGTGCATTTTGGACCTATCGGTGGTGATCGTACGATGGATGTCATGATGAAAGCGTACGACGGGGGCAAACACGTCGGCATGAACTGGCCTGATGGTGAAAGTGTTGGCTATGATGAAGTGGACGAGGTCAAGATTTCGGTGTTGGAGAGTGATGAGAGGTGGCGCAAGGTCTGTATCGATGGGACGATTGTTGATATACCTGAAGGTGGAGAGATGAAAATCAAGATGCTGGACCATGGTCTTTTCAAAATCCTGGCGAACCCGAGCATTTCGGAAGCAAGCATGTAGTTACATGAGATCAATGCTATGCCATAGCCCTCAGAGAATGTAATATACCTGGGAATTTCTCCATCTCGAGTACAGCCTAGTCCTGAAGCAGCTTCTTGACCCTCTTCTCCATAAGCTGCTCAAACGCATCCACCCCATTCTCCAACTTACTCATTGCCCCTCCCTTCAATCTATACACAACTCGCCTCCTCACAATCTCCTCATCGTCATCCTCTTCTGACTCTTCATCCTCCTCCCTCGCACCCTCTATCACACCTCGCATGAACCATCGATCGTGACTCACCAGGATCACAGCGCCCTCCCAATCTCTAAGCGCCTCGCGTAACGCTGTGACAGTCTCATAATCAAGATGGGTGGTGACTTCATCGAGTACAAGACAATGTGGTCGGCGCCAGAAGAGTCGAGCTAGTTCACACCGTACGACTTGTCCTCCTGATAGTTTGCATAGTGGTACATCTGATGCTATCCGGCCTGGAAGACCAAGTTGGCCCAATAGGCCGCGGAGATCTCCCTCTGTGAGTTCACCTTCGACTTCTCGAGTCAGAAGTGCGAGTGCCGTGAGCGTGGGTTCTGCGCGACCGAGTGTCTGCAGAGCTTCAACAGCGTGTTGAGAGTAGTATCCCAGCTTAAGTCTTGGATGAGTCGTTAGAGTTCCCGCTGTCGGTCGAGATTCTTCAACGAGAAGCTTTATAAGAGTTGACTTGCCAGCACCGTTGAGACCAAGAATCCCGATACGATCTCCCATGCCGACAGAAAGTGTGATATCCTGCACAACAAGAGGGGTCTTGGATGAGTAGCGAAATGCAACTTTCTCAAGAGACATTAGAGCGCCAGGGAAACGTAGATCAGGTGGTTCAGGCAGATTCACCACAACAGGACGATCCTCGGGCGGAATATCGATGTCCTCACGCGCAGTCAAGTGATAGCCCACAAGATCTCTGTTGAGCTTGAATCGACCACCCTTTGCACTGACCTGTAACCCCCAGCGGTTATCAAGTTTCTTCTGACGAGACTTTGCTTGACGGAGCTTATTAGTGTCGTCGTTTGCCTTGCCAGCTTTCATATTGGCGGCGATAGACTTTTCGATATGTGCCTTTTGCTTATCCTGTGCTTCTTTCATTGTAGTGAGCCATTGCTTTCGCTCACTCTGCGATTCTTCATAGGTCGGTAAATCTCCATGGAAATAAGTGAGTTGTTTATCCTTGAGAATAAGAAGATCTGTGCAGAGAGACGTAAAGTCGCGATCGTGCGATACGAGGATGAGAGTAGGCGGGTTATCAGTCTCTTCTAGACCTTGCAGGTAGCGTTGTAGCCATATGATTCCTAATAGGTCTAGGAAATTGGTCGGCTCGTCAAGAATGAGAATGTCTGTTTCTTGAACCAGAGCCGTGGCGAGAGAGGCGCGCATGTGCCAACCGCCGGATAAGCTTGAAATGGGTTTCTGGATGAGAGTTTCAGAGAAGCCCAAGCCTGTGAGGATCTTTTTGGCTTTGGATTCGATTTCTGATACACGAGTTGGATCGACTTGGAGTTGAAGGTCTGCAAGCATATCAACTGCTTCCTGGGTCTCGTCTTTGAGAGCTTCAGGTGAGATTTCTGCATTTGGCTGCTCAAGTCTACAAAGAATTAGTAAAGAAAACAACAGATAGGAAAGCGACTTACAGGTTATTTGACTCTTCTACAACCTTTTCATATGCTGTCAGCGCTTTTCGAGCTGCCATACCACGAGCACCGCTACGAAGTCGAGCATCTTTGTCCAGACGAAAGAGGCGCTCTTGATGTTTCTGATGCTTGAGCTGTCTCAAAGCCCTGACTGGTGTGAATGGGTCGGAAGCGTTTATGCCTTCTGTGAGACCTGGAGATGAGAGTTAGAGGGCTGTGGCATTTGATTAAGCGGAGAAAGTACCTTTAATGTCCTGCTCAATGGCATGTTTAGCAGTGGCCTTTTCAATGACTTGCTCCAGCACAGACGGCTCATCGCTTCCCTGGACTTTCGGGTTCCCCTCAGTCTTTTCATCTGTAAGTTTGGTTTGTTGCAGAATAGCAATTCTCGTCTCTTCTGGAATACCAGGGATGAGCTTTTCAGCAATAGCTTTGAGAAGAGCTATAAACCATTGTCAGCATCCTGAATACCATTTAGGCACTAAATTGTGGTCTTACTAGACTTTCCAGTTCCATTTCTTCCTACAAGAGCATATCGCTGGCCCTCTTTAAGTCGAAGTTTAGCGGCAGAAAGAATCTCGACGCCATCACTTTTCCCTTTGGCCTTTCCCTTGCCAACTGGCTTGTCGCCTGAAGTTACAGTGATGTTCACACCGTCGATATCGAGCTGGTGATTATCAGAAATGAATCGATGAATGGATTGATGATTACTTACTTCGCGATGGTTTGTGATCTGGAATCGCGTCTGCTTGGAGTTGCAGAGAATTGTAGCTACAGATTCAGATGCTGCCGACGTCATTTCGGAGGTTGTTGAATTCCAGATAAAAGGCAATGATAAAACAGAAGTTGGTGAAATGAATTTGAAAGGAGTGCAATTGATGTCCTGAAAGACGAGGCTTGATGTGATCAAGTTGAATTTGTTTAATATTCACTCTATATAAATATCTATGCCAACACAGTGTATAGAATTAATAGCATCTTCCTTCTCTATTTTCAGGTCTATGTCACTGGCTTGCAGTTTCTGGGTTCTTTAGTGCATCACTAACTACCTAGACTACAGTATAAACTAATTGTATCACAGGTGACTCACGCCGAATGACTTGGCTTGGCTTTGCCTCTTCTCCACGTTGGAAAATAAGATCGTCAATATTTTACAAAATAAAATGGCGCTTTGACTTAATTGATATAATTGAGATTCTTTGACTCATTTTATTCTATACCTACTCTGGCTGTTCAATGATAATTATTTTGTTGTTGTTTTGTTTGCATCCTTCGCTGAATAACCACCTTCCTATTCCGTCTGTTATCAATCACCCTGTTATTATTAACAACAACCATACTAGTCTAAATAAATAACAACTCTCTTATTTCCCCTCACTCTCCTCTTCTCTCCTCTTTCCATCTTACTCTCTCTCTCTTCAAAGTGATTAAAATGAACGTTACTAACTGTGCTCCATTCATCGACGCCTCCTTTGGCCCTTTTGTCCCTCCCGAATGCCGTGATGGCTTCGACTTTACTCTCGTCTTTGAACAATCCATTCTTGTGCTCATCCCAGCCTCTCTTCTACTTGTTATTGCCCCCTTTCGTATCTTCCATCTTCGAAATGCTCCTGTCAAAGTCACCGGCCATCGTCTTCGCTCCATCAAACTGACTCTCATCGTCCTTTTGGCTGTTCTTCATCTTGTGCTTGTCGTGCTCTGGGCAACTCTTCTTCGCCCTTCCAACACGCGTCTAGATCGCGTCTCCATCGCCGCTGCATGTGTGTCTTTTGCCTCAAGCCTGATGTCCTGTATCCTCTCCCGTGCCGAACATGCCAAATCTGCTCGTCCATCCTCGCTCTTGAATGTCTTCTTTGCCGTGTCTTTGCTCCTGGATGTTGCGCTCCTTCGCACCCTCTGGCTCGTCCCTGTGAGTGTGGCCATTCCGGCTGTTTTCACGGCGGCGTTTGTCCTCAAGGGGATTCTCGTCGTTGCGGAAGGGTGGAGCAAAGCTCCGTATCTTGTCTCCGGCTCCGGGATCCACTCGCCCGAGGTCACGGCCGGACTTTATGCCCGGGTCGTTTTTACGTGGGTAGCACCGTTGCTGTTGACAGGATTTCGGAAGTTACTTCGGCCGATGGATTTGTTTGAGCTGGATGAGGATATGGGCTCGGCAGGGCTGATTGGCAGGTTCTGGGGGTATTGGGACAAACAGAAAGGTTTGTCTACTTTTCCTTCTTCCTTTCTCAGATAGATTTAGATAGTATTATATTCCAACAACTCTTTGTGATGTCCATGTACTAAATGCTGGCTTAGTTCCGGCCGGCAAGCACCGTCTTATTCTGTGCTGCATCTCTAATCTACGATGGCCCATCGTTGCGGTCATTGTTCCTCGCCTGGCGCTTCTAGCATTCACCATATGCCAGCCGCTCATTCTCAATCGACTACTTGTATTCCTCGACGATACATCTCAACCAATCAGCATCGGCCATGGCCTCATCGGAGCATACGGTCTGGTCTACATAGGCATAGCTCTTTCTCAGGCCCTCTACTGGCATCGCAATGCTCGCTACGTTACCCTTCTACGGGGCGTTCTTGTCTCTGCGGTATTCTCCAAAGCTACGGGGCTCAGCACTACGGCCACAGATGATTCTGCAGCCGTGACGCTCATGTCTTCTGATGTAAGAGCTTTCACCATACTAAGAAACAGACTAACATGCCTAGGTCGACGTTATAGTAAGAGCCGTCAGGGAGATTCACGAATTCTGGGCCAATATCATCCAACTTGGCATAGCTACTTGGCTCCTGAGTACTCACATCGGATACGCTGCTTCTGGCCCCATTATAGTTTCCCTCGTTGCACTCATTGCTACTGTCCTGGTATCACCACTTGCACGCAAGTACCAGATAAGATGGCTGGAGAAGACACAGAAACGAGTTGGTTCGTACTCATTCCTCCGAGCTTATACTCGTATCTTAATTCTTTATCAGGCATCACCTCTGCCATGATAGGCCATATCAAGAGCATAAAATGTTCCGGTCTAGCTCAAAACCTCTCGGATACCATTCTCAATCTTCGAGCTGAAGAGATCAGAGCTTCAAGGCCCTTCAGAATTGTCAGCAGCGTTACGTCTGCCATTGCTCAAGTACCTCTGATGATGTCTCCTGTGGCGGCATTCGCTCTTTTCCAGGGGGTGGCTTCCAATTCTTCTGAGACTCTGGACGCGACCAGGCTGTTCTCTGCACTATCACTCATTATCCTTCTTGCACAGCCGTTGTTCTTCATGTTCGAGGTCATTCTGGATATGAGTGCTGCTTTGGGCGCTTTTGAGAGAATCCAGAAATTCTTGGCACAAGAAACACGCCGTGATCCTCGCAAGATACGGTCTGGATCAAGCTCAGCAGTATCTCCTGGAGTGGAAACCGACTGTATTGAACTGAGGATGCTAAGAGAGACCACTTTGCCGTCTATAGAAGACGCCGATACTAGCAGTTTTGCAGTTGAGGTCTCCCATGCCAACATAGCATGGTCAGAAGGGCGCACTCTATTGCAAGACTTGTCATTCAAGGTCAACTACAACCAACTTGTTATTCTTCTAGGTCCAGTAGCGTCAGGCAAAAGCACTCTCTTAAAGGCGATCCTTGGGGAAGTTCCATTCACAGCCGGAACAGTCAGTCTTAACAGCGAACGTGTTGCTTGGTGTGAGCAAAGTCCTTGGCTTCTGGTACGTCTACTAAATACTTACTCTGCTATCTTGTGCTGATCGAATAGAATCGAACAATTCGAAATAACATCATTGGCCACGCTCATTTCGATGCTACTCTTTATCAAAATGTGGTCAAGGCCTGTGATCTTGAGAAGGATTTCAGTCAGCTTCCACAGGGCGATGGTACTGTTATCGGTAGCAAAGGGCTTGCTCTCAGTGGCGGTCAGAAGCAACGAGTGGTAAGTTCCGAATGAAAGAGTATAGTGCTAGATAATGACCTTTTAGGCTTTGGCGAGGGCTGTTTACTCACAGCCAAAAGTCGCTCTTCTTGATGATGTCTTCAGTGGACTAGATAGTCAGACTGCACAGACAATATTTGAGAATCTCTTTGGCAAGCAAGGCTTGTTGCGGAAGTGGAAAACAACGACCATTCTTGCTACTCAATCAGGTCAGCTCCTATAGCTACTACTGGTATTTTGTGGCTGACTGTCAAGCAGCGAACTTTCTCCCTGCCGCCGACCATATCATCTGTCTAAGCAAAGGAGGAAATATCTCTGAACAAGGATCATTAAGTAGTCTTGAGAATGCGGGTGGATATGTGCAATCTCTGTTGGAAGGTAAGACGACACACGAAGCTTTGGAGATTACAGGTGAGGATGTTATCGAACCGACCACTCAACCAAAACAGACAGTCTCTCAGCAACATGATGAACAGGAAGACTGGCGTCGACAGCGGGGAGACTCGACCGTGTATCAATACTACTTCAGCAGCACTGGCAGTCTATTCATGGTTACCCTTCTCGGACTCGAGATCGTCTGGGCTTTCCTCGAGAGCTTTCCAAGTCTGTCAAGCCCACTCAGAATTATATCGAGACAATGTTAACTCGTTTCTAGCAATCTGGCTCAAACTTTGGACCGATGACAATGAGAAGGGAAATGATAGAGCGGATTACTACCTTGGCATCTATGCTGCCTTGCAGATCATGGGCGTCATTTGGTTTGCAATCCTCATATGGTACTTGACGTCTAACAAATCAGAGATGTTGAGGGTTAACTAGAAACTAGGTTTGTCATCGTATTGGTAGCCGCAAGGTCTGGCATCACTCTACACAAGAGACTACTGTCTACCGTTATCCGGTAAATTCATAATCTGCTATCTCGAAACAGTTTATGCTGACTCTCTAGGGCGCCATTATCACTATTTACAACGACAGATATTGGTTCCATCACAACGAGGTAAGGTTGCATCTCTAGGTAACGACTAAATACTGACATCTTTAGGTTCTCTCAGGATATAGGGATGGTGGATAACCATCTTCCCCTAGGACTTGTTGTAACCCTCGCCAGTAAGTCCACAGCTTCCCGTAAATGAAACCCCCAGTAACGAAATAGGCTTCTTCGGTGCCATCGCCAAAGCTGGTCTCCTCGCCGCCTCGACTCCCTATATAGCAGCAGCATTCCCCCTACTGGGCGCGATCTACTTCTATCTCCAGCGTGGCTACCTTCGAACATCTCGTCAACTCCGTCTCTTAGATCTCGAAGAGAAAGCACCTTTGTATACACAGTTCCTCGAGACTCTATCTGGTCTAGCAACTATACGTGCTTTCGGCTGGGGTGACGCTATCTTAGAAGCCAATCACGCCCTAGTTGACCGCTCTCAAAGACCATTTTATCTTCTTATGATAGTTCAACGCTGGCTTGTCTTGGTTCTCGATCTGACGACCGCGGGTCTCGCTTTACTCCTCGTTGGACTCGCCGTTCGTCTTCGTGGTGAAGTTGACGTGGGTTTGACAGGTGTATCACTCGTCCAGCTTATCTCGTTGAGCGAGACCGTCAACCTGCTCATTCAGTTCTGGACGTCCATCGAGACATCTATCGGTGCTGTAGCTCGTATCAAGCAATTTGCTGAGGACACTGGAGAAGAGAACTTGCCTGGCGAGACGCAGGAGCCTCCGCCCCAGTGGCCCGACAAAGGTGCTATACAAGTCAGCAACTTGACGGCGTCGTATGGAGATGGAAAGGAAGACTTTGTTAACGCTCTCGATGCTGTATCCTTGGAGATCAAGCCTGGGGAGAAAATCGGCATCTGTGGTCGTACAGGAAGGTCAGTATGTCCAACCCTCGTTCCTACACCCAACTAATTGCATTTAGTGGTAAATCGTCTCTGTTCCTCGCGCTTCTGCGACTTCTTGATCCTTCGTTTGGTAGCGTCACTATTGATGGAATATCTCTTTCTTCACTGCCACGCGATACCATTCGCAGCCGCCTTATCACGCTTACACAAGATCAGTTCGTCCTGCCAGGCACCGTTCGGCACAACGTAGACCCACGAGGTGTCTACTCTGAAGTTGACATCAACGAAGCAATACGCCTTGTTGGACTGTCCGATGCTATAGAACAGCATGGAGGGCTGCACGCTTCCTTCGACGAGGATATGTTGAGTCATGGCCAGAAGCAACTCTTCTTCCTAGCGAGAGCAGTCCTAAGGAAGCATGACGGAAGAGTTGTTCTCCTTGACGAAGTTACGAGCAGGTTTGTGGATGACCGAATCATCACTTTGGGAACTGGAAACAACTGACAAAACGACAGCGTGGACCATAAGACCGAGAAAGTTATCAAAGCCATCATTGGGGACGAATTCAAGGAGCATACAGTTGTGTCTATCACCCATCGTCTCGATACTATCGTCGATTTCGACCGCGTAATCGTGATGGGAAAGGGCTGCGTCGTCGAGATCGGTAAGCCAAAGGACCTTCTTGCTTCAAACAGCAAGTTCAAAGCTCTTTGGTCAGCCAGACCTCGCTCTGTGGCATAGTCAATTGGGAAACTTCTATCCATAAACATATAAATTGTGGATATCTAGTTTCGCTGTCTATAAGTTGTCTAAACTGTCGCGCTCTACAACAATAAACCTGCCTTTGCCTGCTCTCATCGTTCGAATGTGTTTCTCAACAAGTCTCGCTGTTTGAACAGCTTCAATGTACTTCTCTCTCTCAGACGGCAGCGCGTCGGGTCCAGGTGTCCACCCTGTAAGGAGACGTAGTTCAGTGATCTTGCCCCAGTGATCAGCCCAGTTGACAAAGTCATGACCGGTTTCAGCCATCAGTGCATGGAACCAAGAACAGCAGCCAGTGAGGTCAAGAAACTCAAGCGCATACAGGTTCTTACTTAATGTGCGCAAGACTAGTAGTGCCTCACTCCAATCATGGTCAATCGCATGTGAATATAGATTCGTCCCGCCGTAAGGAATACGATGTCCCTGCGGGGAGGAGACGGTGGCCAGGCGAGATCGTGGTGTCAAGCATGGGTCGGGCCAGAAGGCCAGACTCAGGTGTGTGAGTGTCGTAAGTTTGGAAGACAGAGCAAGGAGATGCTTCCATGATGCTGATGAACTATTTTGAGGGTGCAAGGCAAGCGAGAGGTGGGTGAGGTTGGGCAGCAAAGATCGTGGAGGGCTTGGAATAGCCTCGGATACATCCCAAGATTCCTGCAGTTCTTCCGCGGTTTCCTGTTCCCTGGCGGGGAACAGTAAGTCACTGACGTCTTTGAGTCTGATTGACCGGCATGCGGAGCCCGAAAGATCGAGGTAGTTGACTTCAAAGTTCGAAGCCGTTAACCTATCTAACTCATCCTCGCCAAAGGTATCTGGTGGTGGCAACAGAATAAGTTTAAGATCACTCAAAGAGAGCCCATCTTCGCTGGTTATTCCAACATAGCGGATCAAGGCTGCCTTCAAATGGTTAGGCACAAAGTACAAATGGTACTGATTGTACACACGGTGGAAAGCCCAGTCGTATGCAAGCTTCTGCAGGACGATGTCTATCAGACTTCCACGGGCAGGAAGATAAGTTCCCGGCAAACAAGTGTCTTCCAGTCCTCTCGCACTCAACCGCGACTGGCTCGAGGAGGAGGCCTCAGTTGTGGCATCCGTAAATTGGCGGGAGACCCAGCTCCTCGGTGGAGGAGGGCCAGCAGGGAGTCTCCTGCCACTGCCATCGAATCTCTGACGGACTTGACGACGAGGAGCGGGGGCTGGTGTGTCTGGGATCTGGAGAATCTCTCTGATGGACGGGGGTACGCTTGGAGCAGTCGCGGGCAGGGCTGACTGGGAGGCGGCGGAGGGGCTAATCGAGGTACGACGCAGGTTTGCTAGTAACTCATTGACGCTTCGGGAGGGCTTGTCTGCTGCGCACCACTTGTGAGACTCTGGCTACCACGCGGTCTGGAGATATGAGGGGAAGGGAGGGGGTTCAAAAGGCAAGGAAGCGAGCCGAGAGGTGGTCGGAGGCCGGGCGATTAGAGAGGAGGGGTGTGGCGATCGTGATTGCGATTAGGATTGTGTCGGACCAGCTGTACTTACCAGAGGTATTATTCGACGTTGAAGAAGACGGAGAGGCCGTTGAGATTGGCTTGAAGGACTTGATGTGGTTTCTTTTCTTCGGCATGCCCGGGGACAAGGAACGTGTAGTTTGCGACGAGCTGAGGGAGAGAGAAGAGAGAGAAGAAAGGTGCGACGTCGAGGTGAAGGTATTTGTTTTTTGTCTAGGATCGTGTATCAGTCTCGATGAGTCAAGGCGATGACTGAGAGACCGACTGGCTACCTTGCCTGGGTGTTTGTCGCGTGGCAATGGTACTAAGATTTGACCGAGAAATGATGGAGGAGTATCGATAGAGTCATCAGAGATGGATCCCTCATGAGTCCTTCCCTTCCAGCTCAGGTAACATCGTCATTTTTTGGTGGATGACTGTTATTTCAGTGGCGTCTAGGCTGAGGTAGGCTTAGTGTATGACTCCACAAGGCGGACACCTAACGTTAGCCTGGAGCAGTTCTAAGTCCGCCAAGCCACTGCCGATAAAGCTCACAAGACCCCTAATAGTTAGTGGGTGCACTCCATTCCGTCCACTTACACCGAGGACATCCAGCAGATGGTCAATAATGAGTAGTCAAATATTCGCAGTAACAGGTCCTCATAGATGAAGGCAATTTGACAAGTAGTATCTTGTCGATATCAGCAGCAAACAATGTAGAATCATGTCTCGAGTTTAAGACAATGGCTAGGGTAAAATACTAGGTACGGGGATTAGCCTGGAACCATGAATCAATCCATCCATGTAAGCCAACAAACCTCAAGACAGCACTCCATAACGAACGGTCCGCAAACTTCCATGTTTGGCTAATTTTATCATAATCAAGGCCAAGAACCTTCCAAGGATTACTTGAAATCAATGCTGTGTTCGTGCATTCACTTGCTGTGGCTTCTGCCTCTGCCGCTGCCTCTGCCTTCCATGATCAACACCCCCGGTGATGATGTGCATAACGCAATGTCATGCTTCTCTTCCCGACTTACACCGGATGCGTTGGGCCAATCCAGGTACGGGACTTTAGCCTCGTTCACCAATCGCAATCATGACTTATACTCACCCCTTGATGGTGGCTATTCTTATCTCATCATCAGAATGTCTAATGTCCTGCCTGATTGAATATTGTCCTGCCTCCTGCAAGAGGTCAGGTCATAAGCAAGTCAATCAATGCATGGTTCGTAAAGAATCTGATACGATCATCTTCAAGAGGCTTGGCCGCGTACAAGACCATCAAGGATCTTGGATAGACTGTCCGGAAAGCTGCATGCTTTCAATTCAAACACCAGGATGAGGAATGCAAGGACACATCATTCTGTGAACTTTACTCGGTCAGCTATTCATGAAAATAGATGTTCAGCGTTGATATGCTCATTTGATGCTTGCCCCCAGACGCGTGAGATTTCTCACATTGTCCATTGGTATTGGAATTCTTTGTTGCGACGTTCCATTGGTGATAGGGTCTATACCCTCAAAATGAGTAAGATGGGCGGTTGATGTGCCTGATGCTTGTCTGATCGTTTATCGGCAAGGTGCCGTGAACTGTGGATAGCTGCGCACCCAGTTTCATCAGGGCAGCTGGAGGGTAACACAACTTCCTTCCCGCCACCCAGGGTGGACAATCTCTAGAACTAGAATATGATGAGTATACTTTTACTGATACCGTCATTAGATTTCGGGTTAAGATAACACCATTATGGGCCTCACTACCAGGTAACAACAACTCTTCATCCGTACTGTTGGGCAAGCGATGACGTTCCTATAAGGCACTTCGATCGGTAAACTCCTGGCAGGCATCGCATCAACGCGGAAACTGTAAACGAATGTATAATAATCCATTAGGATGCACTCTTTTGGAGAGAAAAATCGAGGTATTATCAAGAGGTGCGATACTCAGCTTCATTCGTCATGCTAAAGTGCAGCATTCCTCCTGGTTGGTGATCTATTGGTTACCAAATGAACATTGATCTGTGTTTCCAACTCTTTCGTGTCTCACAGCAAGCAAGTCCTTTTGAAAGAGGGCATGGGCTTTTGGATAACACTCAAATTGCGGGAGAGTTCCCCATCGCGGGCCCAAGTAAGCATCCGCGGGAAAGGACCACCGCAGAAGGTTCAATTCTTGGCCAAGGCCTTCCTTCTACAGCATACTGCTACTTTTCAAGTTAACTTGAGTGGCTTGGTTTGACAAAGTGCTGAATTCGGAAAACAGAAGCGAACAAATTTGGCCAATATGTCACCTCAAACCCCGATTTGAAGGAGCAGGACGGCTGAGATACCCCGGAAGAGCTAAAAGTAGTTCATCGTTATCCCATCATGCCATGTACCCTAGGATGGATGTGAGCTGGCGATCGTCCGCAAATGTTATCATGGTGTGTCTGGTGATGATTCGACTGCCTATGCTCGAGCATTCAGGGCTGTGATAAACCAACCTGGCTTTGTCATGAGCAGCTTAGGCAGATCGACACCTGAGCTAGATCTACATGGGTGCAGATTGACTGGGGAGATCCTATCCCACGGTGTAAAGCTTGCTTAGTTGGGACGCTCCTGGTTCATCGTCTTTTGAGACCAGGAAAGCAAGTAACTTTCCTGTATACGCATACATGACACATACCCCTGCTCTGTTCAAGAGTTTCTGACTGGGCCCTGGGTCTAGTTCGATTCGAGAGTGACAGAGGAATGGTTCTTGACATCCATCTTCTTTGTTTCTTATGAAACACTTGTCCCGATCAGGAGTAGAACAAACTCATTGCAGGCGAATTTTGAGGTGGAAACATGTCTTGATCATGATTAGCTGCACCTTCTTCTCGACTTTGTGTTGCTTCTGCATCAGACAAGCGTGGTGCAACATGGTAACGATCTGGTGTGTTCTTCCTGTAAAGCAGGACAAGTATTGCATCGCAAACTGTATTTCTCTGCGAGAGAACCAGATCCATTCTTACCCAGACTCTGCAACAGGAATACCTTGGCTCCAGAGAGGATCCTGCGATGCTGTAAGGTCTCTCAACCTCATTTTGGATCTCGCCGTCTACTTTTCCATCTTCCTGGTACAGGGTATGTCCTGCAGCTAGGCAATCTCCGTGCACAGTCGAGACAGGCCTGGAATCTCTTCGTCTAAAGCCTTCGAGAAATCGGCAGATGGTCCAGCCGACTCAGATAGTGACAATGTAATTGACAAATCAATGGCAAGAGCAGCCGACGTCAGGTGCTCCACCAGAAAACATTCTGGAACATGCTAAAAGCTTCGCGATTTCGGCAAGGAGTGTTTGTTGATTGTAAAGACGAGGACTGAATAAAACAACTTTCCCGGAGCATACGGGTGTGATCTTCAGAACGAGGCGTCAAGGTACCGGTTGAGGTTAACTTACGGTAGCCGCAGGGTGTCACAAGAATTGGCCGCCTAGATCATAGGAGACGAAATCTTTTAATCATCTTATGCCGGCTTAGGCTTGCGTTTATGCTCCTTTATTTCTGTACCCTAAACCTTAGAGGACAATTCTTCTGACACCCACCTGAGTAGAAGGGGCGATACCTGGCAGGGGCGATGGGTCAAGTGGAGGAAGCGGAGAGCGGGGAGTCCCCCGCTGCATGCATGGGCTCGGCCACTGACAGTCGGCAGGTGAAAGGCGACAGAACGGGGGCGCTGAATGGCGGAGCACTTAGCAAGTACCGTATCGCACTGTGCCCTCCGACTCCCATCATGGCCAACTCAGCCAATAGCATTACAAGGCCATGGCTATCGGAGATCAGCCAAGCCAGACAGGGTAGGCGCCAGAGGAAATGGAAATGGAAGGAGGCTCGACCGGTCAAGAAAGATCGCCCGTGCGTGCGTAACAACTTTGCGCCTTTCAACTCCATCCCAACCTCTGCTGTGCTGAAGGACCAAACCTCAGCGTCTGCCCACCCATACACTCTCATTTTCCACCCGGGCAGAATGTTTGGCGTGCCCGTCACTTTCTTTCATCCACTCAGAGCGCGGCACATTCGCGGCCTCTCACCGTCTTGACATCCGAGCTTTGACTTTGCGGTAGCGGACGTTTCATCCGCCATGGCTTTGCAGCATTAATCAAGATCAGGAGTGCTGTACTGTACGCACGAACTAGGATCGGATGCCCAGAAGATTGGGCCGGGCCCTAGCTGGGCCAGATGCACGCAAGTTCTTCGGCTTTTGCTGATTTGCCAGCTTTTTTGGTGTGTATCCGACAGAATTGCAGGCACCCTTGACATCCCAAGACGGTCATAAACAATGTCCCCATTCAGCTTGTTCAAGACCTCATACGTGAGAGCCGTGTCGTTGCCGTATTGGCAGCTGCAGCCTGAACCTACCTGCGGTCTTTGTGTGCAACACCTTGCTGTCCCTGGGTACGACACTGACTTGCTTTTTCAGCTGCATGGCATCAATTGGCTGCCAACACCACTGTTGATAATTATACTGCACCTGACGAGTTAACCTAAACTTCCTGCTTGGATTTTGTATCACTCCTATGCTGCAGTATGATCATGCCATATTCAGCCTCAATCAGCAAAAAAGGGTAGCAAAAGAAAGGTTGATCGACTCCAAAGTCTGGAAACAGTCAAATGTCACATCACACAAAGATCTGGCTGGAATCGCGCCGAACGGTCCAAATTTCTATCATCAACTGGCGCAAATACACGCGTCTGATACCAGTAGCAACATTGCCAACGGCCTTAGTTCCACCACCCCTTCTGGCTACAACAATACACTGCGGACCATAGCCGTTGGCATGAAAATACTCTCAGTGGACGGCCCGATCCGATTCAAGGCCAGCCCCCATCCCCATTCGCCATGTCTTCGTTTACTCGTACTGTCAGCCTGCTTCAGAAGACAAAGCAATGACATGTTACCATTTTAAACCGGCCCCCCAATACCACAGGCTTCAGTCATGCCTCTGAACGCCCCCTTGTGAAAACATAGCGCGATGATGCTGCCTTGACATTGGCACGAGGACTGCAGACTCTACCGGTCAGCTCTACAATTGCTAGGCGGGCCCCGATCAACGCCGTCATCGATGGCCCGATGTCATTTTACTGGCGAACTCGCGAGCCTATGCCCTCTGCCGCGTCGTCT